GGCATAGTGAGTTACCTGTTGGTTCCCCTGAGGACTCAGTGGTGGATGGTGTGCCTGTTAGTCCACCTTTTAATTCCTTACCCTCTGTTGCATTTGCTTCTTTATTAGCTGGGTCTCATTCTTCCTGCCTTAGTATGGATGATTTTGCGGCCTCAGTGTAGGTTTTCATGGGTCAGATTTTTGCCATGTTGTAAGCGTCTGCTCATATAGGGGGCATAAGTGCAGTCCCCCTTCTCCAGTTCCCTCTGAATCCTAGTTGAATGAGGATGTTTCCCAACCAGGATGAGGGTGGTGAGAAGTTGGAAGGAAGTGCTTCTTCTGAATTGGAGAATGTTTGTCACAAAAATTATATAATACTATTGCAGTGTTAATAGATGGGGTTAGAGAATGTCCTTCTATTATTCCCGTTGCCAGCGACTTAAGGCATGTGGGGCCTGCAGCAAGATCGCTTCCATGGGCCGGTTTTAGGGTAAAAATAACACACAAAAAAGTCCTCCATCCCCAAGAATGTCTTCAAACTGGTGGATGATCAGTCCAGCCAGGTTAGGAAATGTTTCTTGGCCAGTTTAATGTATGATCCTAAGTACAGATGCAGTCTCTCTGGTTGGGGGGAATCTCTCAGTTCAAGGAATGTGGAGTACGGAAGAGTCAATTTTGCTGATCAACACCCTAAAGATGAGGGCAATGCATCTTGTTCTCTGTCACGGCCCTGTCATCTTCAGGGGCAACCAATGAGAGTACAATCTGACAACACTGTGGCTCTAATGTGCACAAGCAGTTATGCTCAAAAGGAGACAGTGACAATTCTAAGATGGGCAGAGTCTCATGTCCTGATTCTGTCAGCTTTTTTCATTCCCAGAGTGGAGAATTGTCAGGCAGACTTCCTCAGGCGACAGTAACTAGATCAGAGGGACTGGTCCTTAAATCAGGAGGTATCTCAGCAGATTTGTCGACGGTGGGGTACACTGGACGTGGATCTTCTAGCAGCAGGCTCAACAAGAAGCTGGACAGGTTGTATCCAAATTCAGGGATCCAAAGGCTCTTGTAGTGGATGCTCTATTACCGCCATGGGATCAGTTCTGTCTAATCTATGCCATTCCTCCTTTGATGATTCTGCCCTGTCTCCTTCGCAGGATAGCTCTAGAAGGGATTCTAGTAATTCTAGCGGCTCCCAGTTGGCCTAGAAGAGCATGGAGCATGGATATTCTCTGTCTATCGACCGGATCTTCTGTCTTAGGGTACAGTAGCTGGCTTTGATGGCATGGCTGTTGAAGCCCAGGTCTTAAGAGAAAGGGGCTTATCAGAAGATTTCATTCCCTTACCTTGTTACAAGCAAAGAAGCCTTTGTGTTATAAAGTATTTTACCAAGCATGGCTAGCATACGATGCTTGGTGCAAGATAAGGAGTTGAATCCTAGAATTTTCTCAGAGAGCCAGGTCTTAGTTTCTCCAATCATAGTGGGATCAGAGGTGAGCTTTGAGTGCGATTGAGTGTGAGGCAAGATTTCAATCATAACTATTCTTTTTCATGAACCTTTGGCTTCTAATTTTCTAGTAAAGGCCTTCATACAGGGAGTTGCTCACATTTGCTTATCCTAGATGTCCTCCTGTATCTCCATGGGAACTTAATTTGTTGCTTTCTTTTTTGCAGAAGCCTTTGTATGAGCCTCTCGAAAGCATACTGTAGCTTTAGAGGATATTACTTGTAAAGTTGTGTTCCTGGTTGCTATTACCTCGGCCAGGAGAGTCTCTGAGCTAGCAATCCTGCCCTGTAAGGAACTCTTTTTGGTCATGCATCAAGAAAAAGTTCTTGATTTGGTTTTAAGGCCTAAACAGTCTTTCCCACCTAAGGTGATTTTGTCTTTTCACATTAATCAGGATATTGTGTTGCCCTCCTTTTTTATGGAACCACAGAATTTTAGGAAAGAATCATTACACAGTTTGCATGTGGCAAGGGTGTTAAGGGTCTATCTTGATGCCACCTTTTCCTTTAGTCCTCTATTGGTCTATTGCTTGCAAATAACTGAGGGTCTGTGGTGGGGGTAGGAGTTATATATGATTCAAACTGCTCTGGCCCGTGTCCAGTCAGCTGAAAGTACAGCTATATAACCCATCCATCCTGATTATCAGTGTCCTGTACTGTACTCCAAGAAAAGGATTCTACAGGTAAGTGAGAAATTCTATGATACATGCTACAGTGTAAAACAGGGCAGCCATCAGAAATTTTGGGGTCCCCTTACACGGCTTTAGGCTGCCCCCCCCCCCCCCCCCACACACACACACACACTGCCAACACACTGAGCCAGTCACACACTATTATTATCTATATAGCTCTGACATATACTGCAGTGCTGTACAGAGAACACTGAGCCAGTTACATCAGTCTCTGCGCCAGAGGAGCTTACACTCTAATGCACAATGGCACCAGCTGTAGGGGGACTACAAATCCCAGCAATACATTTATACAGCAATGCCGAGCAGTATATGAATTTGACTCAGGGATTAGCGACCCACTGGACTCTGGGCTTAGCGACCCGCTGGACTCTGGGCTTAGTGACCGGCTGGACTCTTGGCTTAGTGACCCGCTGGACGCAGGGCTTAGCGACCTGCTGGACGCAGGGCTTAGCGACCTGCTGGATGCAGGGCTTAGCAACCCGCTGGACGCAGGGCTTAGCAACCCGCTGGACACAGTGCTTAGCGACCCGCTGGACTCTGGTCTTAGTGACGCAGTGGACGCAGGCCTAAGTGAAGGAATGGACGCACATCTAAACAATGGACGCAGGCCTTAGTGACCCGCTGGACTCAGGGCTTAGTGACCTGCTGGACTCAGAGTTTAGTGACCTGCTGGATGCAGGGCTTAGCGACGAGCTGGACACAGGACCCACCTGATACCCCACACATACCTGAGAGTGACCCTGCAGAGCCCACCATAGATGCTGCACAGCCCATCTGATACTCTCTATGGTGGGCTCTGCAGGGGTCTCAGGTGGTCTGGTCAGGGCTGCATCTATCTCCCAGCTCCTCTTACCTGCTCCCTTGGCCTCCCCTGCCGCCGGACTGGTCGGAAGTGACGTGATGTCACTTCTGGCCGGTCCGAGTTCAGTAGAGCGGCTGCGCCGATGGGGCCCCAGCTTGCTCCAATGCCACTGGATTGGCAATGCTGGGAGTCTGGCGCTGCTAAGGCTTGACAGCCTCCTCGCCTGTCACAGTCGTCCGATACTCATGTAAGGGTCCCGGGCGGACCCCCCAGGCTGCCCGGGCCCCCTTACATGAGTATCAGCCGTACCCCTCTGATGGCGGCCCTGGTGTACAATGTACTATCTGAGTGTACAATCTTTGTACAATCTTCTTTAGATTTACCAAAATATGCAATATGAGGACCTACCTAAATTTTCTATTCAATTTGCATCCAATCATGTAGGCCCTTGAACTACACAGTTGTTGATAGATCTAAAGGATATTGTATGGTCAGATTTCAACATGTGTGTGTTGAGCTTATAAACCCCTTCGTGACGGGAGACGTACAGTGTACGTCCCGGCACTCTGTGCCTATATGACTGGCCACGTACACTGTACATGACGAGTTATATCAGGCTTTGTAATGCTGGTAACAGCTGATTCTCAGCAGTTACCAGACATTAATGAATGCCTCCGTATTGAGGCATTGATTAATGAAATAATTAAGCTTTTTGTAAAAGCTTCTTCCTTTCATTGATGAAAGAATGAAGCCGTTACATACAAATACAGGACCGCAATTTGCGATCCCGTATTTGACAGCTGAAAATAGCAGAGAGGTAGCAGTGACTCACCTCTCTGCTATTTGTTTTGACAGCTCGAGAGCCCGATGTTTAGATACATTTCACTCAAAAGATACAATGTATATCTTTTGAGTGAAATGTATCAGTTCTGATCGTCTAGGCACGATCAAAGAGCTTTTAGTGAGATCTGAATCTGACTAAAGTCAGGATCAGTCTCTAAGGTTATTATTAGCTGTTCCTAAGTTTGGATCAGCCTAATAGCCAAAAATTTTTTTTAAAAAAGTTAATTTATCAAGCAGAATCTGACTGCTTGATATAAACTGACAAGAAAAAAAAAGTTTATTTTTTTACAAAGTGTAAAAAATTTTAATAAAGTGTAAAACAAAATTAGGAAAATAAAAATGATATATGAATATATTTTTTATACTATAATTAATATAAAAAATTCTAAAAAAAATTATAATAATCAAAACTTGTGAAAAAAGTGTTTTCTTCTAGTTTTTTCCACCATTTTTTTATTTTATTCAAACTAAGTGAGGGGTTAGGTACACATATGTGATATAATTATATAGCCCTATCTGTCCTCTAAAAAACTATATATAATATGTGTGGGTACATTTAGTAAGAAAGTATATTACTGCTGTGGAAGAATCACACAGCACAAATGTAAAAAGTGTGTCAGTCATTTATGAACAGAACCTGAAAACTAGCTCAGTCATGAAGGGGTTAAGAGACTCTAACAGTAGAAGACATTTGGTTGGGCAGTCAGTTGGTTTGACACTTACCACCAATTTAAACTGAACATATGATGCAAAAATGCACTAAGGGTTTCCTTTAGTATAAACCACATACAAAAACACTAACTACACCCATAAATATAGGATTATGCAGCTAAAGGTTTTATGTATGGGCAGCCCCAATAACCAATTGGGAGGCTGGATGGGGTAAGCTCAAACTTTACTTTTAGAGAAAAAAAACCCCAATAATTCATTATAATGTATATCTCTGGATTTGCTTCTGCTCTTGCATTGTTTTATTTAATGCTTAGTTTGAACTGCACAGGTTGGTGACAGATTTACTTGATCATGACCAGACCACTATCAAAGTATATATAACCAAAAGCAAAGGTAAACACATCTTTACAAAAGATAACATCCATAAGTGAAGTTATATATTTATGTGATGATTCTAAACTAGCTGCTTACCAATAAATAGTAGTAGTATATAATGTATAATGTTTATTAAATACATTGCAACAAGGGTAGGCAACCTCGGCACTCCAGCTATTGTGGGACTCCATGTCCCATAAGGTATTGCAAGACCCTAACAGCCACAGGCATGACTTCCAGAGGTCAAGGTACAATGGGATTTGTAGTTTCAGAACAACAGGCGTGCCAAGGATGCCAACCCCTGCTTTAGAAGAATACATCAGTTTAAATACATCAGTGTTTCCAGTGTAGAGAATTACCTCTGGAGGAAGTTCTCATACTTTCTACGGTAGGCAAATCCTGCTCTTCTGACTCTTAAATACTCCATTAAACCTAGGTATTTCACTTGGTGACGAGCCAACATATCGTCAAACTTTCCTGTGGTATGCAAGAAAACATTTATATAACAGTGTTTTACAATCAGTAAAGAGTTTTTAACATAATTAACATAAATAAGAAGAAATCAAACAGAACATACAACTAATATAAACATTTATTATATTATATACACTCATGGGCAAAAATATTGGCACCCCTGCATTTCTGTCAGATAATGCACCACTTCATGCAGAAAAGTGTTGCAATTACAAATGTTTAGGCATTCTCATGTTTATTTTAGGACTGTTACTGATTAAAATTTTGGTGTTCGATTAATCAAAAAAATGTTTAATCGATTCATTTTGATTAATTATAACGCACATACAGATCCAACTACATTGGCCTACACACATACAGCACAGCAATGAAGTAATAAAATGAACTAGGATCACACTAATCCAGCACGTTATTAATCTCACGTGCCCCACTCAATATGGCCGACATGTGAAATGTTATATTGTAAACATATATTGTTATATTGTACTCCCCTTGTAATAGCAATAAAAAAAAAAAATCAAGTTTAATAATATAGAGTAAAAAAAGAATTAAAGCCCCCAGTCCCCAAATACACACAAATGCAAACATGCACATCGGGTGCACACATGTATGAAAGTGATGATTGCACCACACAATATTAGCAGCACACAACAAAACAGCATAACTTACAAAATTCCTAATATATCTAAAAGATAAAACTGTATTGAGTTAAAAAAATAATAAATATACTGTATGTAAATTTTAAATTGTGCCTTGTGAAACGGTGAAAATCAAAGTTACTCAAAACTGTAAATAGGAGAGCATCTGAGATCAGAGGGTACAATAGGGACAATGGAGGGAAGTAGATTGTGGGTACACAGCAAGACACAGTGTGTGGTGGCAAAGTCCTCTTATTGCCCTCCTAAAACTCACTAACAACTTACTAACTGTTAAAACCAGTGACCACTACTCCTTACTCATACTGATAGAACTTTCTGTTGCCTTTTATATACGGTAGTTAACCACCAAGTCCTTCTTAAAGGAGAACTATGGGATTAGGGCTTTTCCCCATAGTTCTCCTAAGGGTAACGGGAGGACACAAACTAGCGTCCTCCGGTCACCCAAAGCTCAGTATACCGCGAGCTACATATATCTGAAACCTGAATTGCTGCCATGGGCTATTGCTTTTGCTCATCATCACTGCTCCTTGTGCTGTTTTATTGAAGAAACCCTCTGGTGTAACACTGCTCCATTTTTTAAAATTATCTTCTTACCTGGCTGTTTGTCATTATTTGGTTTGATACATCTAATGTAAGCTGGTTCCTTGGACATCAAAATTTCTATAAGGCTTGACAAGCTATTTTTAAACTGAGTGGTTACCTGAAAGGATGGGAAAGAACATTATTTCCATAATGTATTTACAGATAATAAACACACTGTAACCTAATGTATAGAAAATTAGTTTGTGTTGCATGTTATATACTGTATATACAGGCTTATTTAAAGCAGTATTACACACTCAAACTTTTTTTCAAAAATGAAGGCAGATCAAACAAATATACATTGCCCAGAAGAGTATTTCTTTACATATTTACCCAAGCATTTACAGTCATCATGTTTCCAAAAAGCTGGCTCCAACTCTCTCACCTCGGTTTCCCAAACTTCCTGTCTAGTACAAGATCACAAGGTACAGAGCCGTCTCCAGCAGCCGTCTATCTACTAGCATGGAAACGGGAGGAGGAAGAAGGAGTGGGGGCTGTGTGTATCTGGAGGCACACAAAGCTTACTAACACACACAAAGGTGGCTCCATTGCACTCTACAAGGGAAAGGAAACAGGATATCCTAAAACAGGATATCGGGGCCAGTGCTCAGGGGACCGTCTGATTCCGTAGGAAACTAAGACAGTTATTCACAAAGCTGCAGTTTGGCTATTCACTTCAGCCCTGTACGGCTGATTTCAGCCATATATTGGCTAAAATTAGCCGTACATCGGCTGCCTTTGGTCAGCTGAATATGCTCTGCATGTTGGCTGAGCCAACAAAGTGCAGAAGGAGTTCCAGATGTTGGATTGGCTGAGCCAAAGCTCCAGCAGCTCACTTGCTGCCGTTCGCCCCTATTCTCATAGGGGCCGAACGGCAGTGAGTGAATAGCCAAGTGCCGCCAAGCGGCATTCGGCTCAGCTATTCTGCTTGCTACCTCCCACAAAAATGGATCCACCGATGTAATCCAGGGTCAATCACGACATCCAGTGTTGTCCACGATGATGACGACTCGACAAAATAAAAAAAAAATTAAGTAATAAATAATTTAAAAACACAGACGCCTGCCTACCTGAACGCGATAAACTCCCACCGCAGAATGAAGAATCTGACAGATGCCGGCAAAATATAAACAATTGGGCAGAGCTAGCGGTGACATCAACTGTTTACTTTTGCCCGGCACCTGCCAGATTCTTTAGCACAGGGGTGCCCACAATTTTTCGCCTGGAGATCTACTTTACAAATGATGAGTTCAATGAGATTTACCAACGAAAAAACACCTGCATTCAAAATGCTGCAAGCACTATTTTTGCAGATCGCACTGGACCGGAATGCAGGCACTGTGGGCAGGGGGCATGGCTGCGGTGCCATTGACTTCAATACAACCCCACACTCCCTCACGCCCCTGAACGCAGGGAGTCGGCCGGCTTGCATTCCAGTGCGTCCTAGAGGCCCCGACATCCTGTCCTGCCGCGGTGCTCGTGTGGCTGACGTTGCACATGGGGAGAGGTGTCCGGCCCCTTTCCGTCTGCGGCGTCTGACACATTTAGCCAGCAGCCGCATGAGCACTGTGGGCATAGCCAAAGCCTAACACTGGAGTGATCAGCTGATTGCTCCAGTGTTTGTCCTGCACAGAGGATCCGAACATATCACTGATATGTACCGATCCTCCGCCGCTCGGCCACGCACACGTGGGCTCAGCTTTTCCTCTGGTATCCCGCTGCTCTCCCGGGCAGAGGCAGTGGGGGATCCGAGGAGAAGTGAAATAAGCACTTTAGCCGTGGGGCAGTGGATGAGGGAGCCGCTGTCACAAAACTAAGGACGAGCGGTGAGGAGAGAGAGAGGCGCCGGCTGTCAGATCCTGGCCGAGCGTCTCTCTCTCTCTCCTCACCGCTCGGCCTTAGTTCTGTGCAGCAGCTTTCTCCTCCGCCGCCGGCTGCAGCGGTTCCATCACTTCTCCTCGGATCTCGGCTGCATACAGATGGGGGAGAGCAGCGGGGATCCAGAGGAGAAGCCCCATGGCGGGAGGACAGGACATCGCGATCTACCAGTGATCACTACGCGATCGACTGGTAGATCACGATCAGCCTATTGGGCACCCCTGTTCTAGCAGGTCCTGGCCAAATAAAAACAACTGAGTGGAGCCGGCAGATCAGCGTCCCCAGGTCACTTGGGGGAGGACAATGATCTGTCATTACAGCACAACAACTGGACGGAGCCAGCCAAGATATCTCGGATGGCTCCGCCCAGCTGCTGTTTACTGGGCGGAGGGTCTGCTTCGGCAGACCATACGTCCCACTTTGGCTGAGCCGTTCGCCTGCCTTCAGCTGCTGTATGGGCTATAGTGAATAGCCTGTACAGCAGCCCTTTGGTTCGACTGAACCGAAGGGCTCCAGTGGCCGAAGTGAGCCGAATTGATCAGCCGAAGCTACAGCTGGATCCATTGGCTCTTTTGTGAATAGCCCTCTAAATCTTTTAAATATCAAGGAGCAGCATCATTGTAAGTGATTTAATTAGCATTTGAAAAAGCTTTGACTTAAATATCACTTTAAGAAGGTAGAGCAAAGAGTAATGAGAGTGTGTAAAGTACAGGAACCCATTTCAACCAGCAACTCACTTAAAAGCTATCCCTTAGACGAGCTCATTGCAGTATAATAAAACCGGATATTTTGCTATTGAATACTGAATGTGTTAAATTATCGTTATTATTCTTTGCACTGCTTTAGCAAGTAAGCCTGTCCCCAAGTTTTCAGTTAAGAGACTGTGTCTTTTTTTATAAGACACACACACCATTATATGTTAATTTCAAATTTACAGTTTTCCTCAGTTCATTACATACTTTAAGCCGACCCTGGGCAAACAAAAAAGTACCCCTGCAGTGGCATTAATCCTGCACTGCATGGATTAAGTGCCTATTTTTGTCTTCTTCACAGCAGCAGCTTAACTGATGGAGGCACCCATGCAGGGGGTGGGGGGAGAGCACTGCGGGGACCCACTAGAAAATGAGGAACTAAACATTAAAAAAAAAGAAGAATTTAACAAGTGTGGGCCTCTACACACTATATTACCAAAAGTATTGGGACACGCACATGAACTTTAATGGCATCCCAGTCTTAGTCCGTAGGGTTCAATATTGAGTTGGCCCACCCTTTGCCACTATAACAGCTTCAACTCTTCAAGGCTGTCCACAAGGTTTAGGAGTGTGTCTATGGGAATGTTTGACCATTCTTCCCGAAGCGCATTTGTGAGGTCAGGTACTGATGTTAGACAAGAAAGCCTGGCTTGCAGCCTCCGCTCTAAATCATCCCAAAGGTGTTCTATCGGGTTGAGGTCAGGACTCTATCGGGTTGTAGTCAGGACTCTGTGCAGGCCAGTCAAGTTCCTCCACTCCAAACTCGCTCATCCATGTCTTTATGGACCTTGCTTTGTGCACTGGTGCGCAGTCATGTTGGAACAGGAAGGGGCCATCCCCAAATTGTTCCCAAAAAGTTGGGAGCATGAAATTGTCAAAAATGTCTTGGTATGCTGATGCCTTCAGAGTTCCCTTCACTGGAACTAAGGAGCCAAGCCCAACCCCTGAAAAACAACCCCCCACCATAATCCCCCGTCCACCAAACTTTACACTTGGCACAATGCAGTCAGGCAAGTACCGTTCTCCTGGCAACCGCCAAACCCAGAAACGTCCATCGGATTGCCAGACAGAGAAGCGCGATTCGTCACTCCAGAGAACACATCTCCACTTCTCTAGAGTTCAGTGGCGGCGTGCTTTACACCACTGCATCTGACGCTTTGCATTGCACGTGGTGATGTGAGGCTTGGATGCAGCTGCTCGGCCATGGAAACCCATTCCATGGAGCTCTCTACGCACTGTTGTTGTGCCAATCTGAAGGCCACACGAAATGTGGAGGTCTGTAGCTATTGACTCTGCAGACAGTTGGCGACTTCTGCGCACTGTGTGCTTCAGCATGTGCTGACCCCGCTCTGTCATTTTAGGTGGCCTACCACTTTGTGGCTGAGTTGCTGCTGTTCCCAGTTGCTTCCAGTGTGTTATAATACCACTAACAGTTGACCGTGGAATATTTAGTAGCAAGGAAATTTCATGGATCACCTGAATCTAATGATTTGGAGGAGTGTCCCAATATTGGATGCTGAGTTGTAAATTCTTGATGTTTTAATATTTTTACTTTATGCTTACAAATCTACTTTGGGCTTCAGCATAACAGACCAGGGTATATGTCTGTGAAGGTTCTCATTCATCTAGGTCATGGTATGTCTGTAGAAATAAATCAAGACAACTGGACTTGCTGTATTTTTCCTGAAGACGTTTCAGAATTGAGAAAGTAAGTCGAATGACCAGCAAAATGCAAAAATACAGCAAGTCCAGTTGCCTTGATTTTTTTTTTTTTTACAAATAGACAAGCAAAAATAATATGACACGTTGCCTGCAATGTGTCATACTAAAAAATGACACATTTTCTTTTTCCGCATTGTAAAATACATTATTTTGGTTGGCAGAATAAGTGGAACATTTTACATTTATTTAAATTACATAAGGAAGGGGAGAGAGGCAACAATCATTTCAATCATCATCAATTCTCTCCTTAGTGTAATCGGAATAGGTTATTTGCAGGTGATTATGTTTCGTACACTTACAGTCTCAGGGCGCTTTCTGTTGTCCAGTTCTGATGCATGAAAACAATCCCTTAGGATATAATTTTTGGATTTAATAACCACCTAAAAGGTAAAGATTCTATTAACAAGTTTTACGAGCCTGGTTGTCACAATACCTATCCATTTCAGAAGTTAAAAATAAAATTAATTGGACGTTCTATAATGAAAAGCTTTCGGCCCGCCTACTAGATTGCATGCCTAAATTCGAAAAAATCTGGAACCCATGGATCTGTCACTTCCTCCCCCCGTCGTTTGATAGGCAACTGTTAACCCTGTGATATTGGACCTACTCAATCTGGCATAACCCTGTTCAGAATCTCCAACCGAAAAATTGAAGGTTGCGCTCATCCCACCCCCACTCTTCCCCTCCCCCTCTCATTCACTGTTCCCTTCTCTTAGCTCTACTTCTCCTTGTTCACCTATTGATCCTCTTGATCTCTCTCAGTTTAAATACGTCCATCTGACAAGCGTATAGCAATTTTCCTCTTTATGTTGGCCCAACAGGTGGTCAGTTCACTCAATAGCCAATACCTGCTTGTTTGCCTTGACGTGAAGTCAAATGTTACATTATGCAACTACCATACATGTTCTGTAACCATTTATGTAACAATGTTACGTTCTTTTTTTTTTTGAAATTGTTAAAATCAATAAAATACTTTGAAAAGTAAAAAAAAAAACACGTTTTACAATATATTGTTTTAGTAAGTAATTATATGGTACTGTAAAAATATAACAAACATAGGCAAAAATTTATAAAACACAAAAGATGATGCACAGCATAAAGGATTGCAGCTTGCAAAGAAGGAGCAATAGGCAGACCATCTTTTTTTGTAAGGGAAAAAAGACTGTTCAGCGTATTTTAATACTTCAGCTCCACCTAAAAAAAATCTAAAGCGACAAAGTAATTTTTTCTGTTCAGCAGCCTGGGCTGCCCCAATTCCCATACTGTTCTAGTATGACCCAACATCCTGGGTCAAAAGTATGACTATTCCCCCTGCCTCCTGAGACGTACTACTGGCAATTACTGTAATGGGCCATACTGGCAAATAGTGAGCCTTATTAGTGAGAGGGAACAGGCTGTTGACTGTTGATAGCTGTGTCAATATTTGTCTATCAGAAGAACCCAAAATATTGTTACCTGGGCCACTGAAAAGGAAACTGTATTGGCAAGAAGGATCCTGGATGTGCCTGCTGTCTGGTGGCAGCAGTGGTTCAGCTAAATATGTAATCACTTTAAAGGATCAATCAGTTAAACATAAATGTTCTGCCTCTGGTACAGGGACTATGAACCCCTGAAAAAGAAGCTGACCTAGACAGTGAGAAAATCTGTTTGCCCAGAAAGTGGGGGCATCCCTTCATAATGAAAAGGACTTGTTACTAGATTTAGTGGGCCAGGAATTATGACAGAACTGAAAGCCAGGCCTGAATTTGGATCCTGAGGCTCAGGAGGGATAAAAGAATACCTTCTTGAAGGAGGGAGCAGAGGATTTTACCACCGGAGGCTTGTACTTCTTCTTCTGAGGAAAGAAGGTGCTCTTGTCCTCATAACTTCCTTGATATAAGTATCTAAGGATTCTCCAAACAGGTCTCCAGTAAACGGCATGCATTCAAGTCACATGTCAAAGCATTTAATCCATAGGAAGTGCAAATACAAGGAAGGTTTTGGCAGGATTGGGTATGTTTAAAGAACCCAGACTAGTGATCTTTGGCAAGGCCAACATAGATGGCTCTTATTGTAAACAATTACACACCACATCCAGAAGTACAGAAATAGTGTCCTTGAGCTTGGCAGAGATGTCAGGAGACACCCGCAGAACTGGAAGAAGCCCCTTCCTTCTCATCTTCCGCTTCTGCAAATGCAGAAGGGGGCCTGCTTCCACCCTGCACTCTGAGAACTGCAATAGTTCAGACATTTTCCTCATAAAGTCTGCAATTACTGAAGGAAACTCCTCTCTGAACAGCAGGGTGGAGGAGCTTGCATTTGATGGTGCTAAGGAGGACCCTGAGACGAAGAGAAGGAGCAGAGCATAGAGCTAGCAGAAACAGTATCCCCAAAGAGGACAGAACCCTTCCCAAAAGTGTTGAGAAGCTGTGAGGACCCAGAGGCTGCCACCCATACCTCCCCATGTCTATGATTCACCATTGCCTAAAAGGAATCCCCAGTACTACTACTACTGTGGAGGGTGGTGCTTAGTGTCCCAACACTGTAGGCAGAATCGGTGACCCAGTGCAGCAGTTTTTAGAAATCTGGCTTCTCTGGTAGTATGTAAAGTCGCAGCATTGGTAGCAGCATGTGGCCAGCTCATCACACACCAGGAGAAGAAAAATGGTGGTCACATGCACAGTAGAGAAACCGCAGAGGGAGACTGCACAGATGCTGTGTAGCTAGTAAATATGGTAGCAGGTAGCCCTGATTAACCAAGTCTCAGAGTGGCATATTACAGGCCAGCCCTGCATCTTTCTTCCAATGAGAGTCCAGGTATGGTTGGCCAAGGCTCTGCTGAGGAGAAAACCAGATAGCTACTGAGCAGCATAGGAAAACTCGCTAGTCTTAAAAAGTGGCAAAAAAAAAAGATGTGCTTCACTCATAGCAGAGAGAAAGCATCCATCATCTAAGGACACTAAAAAAAACTGAGATAGGCGTTATACAAGGCTGTCCAATCACCTGGAAATAGCTGCATAACTCATATATTCAAGAATTACAACCCTGTGTCCTGTTATGTACGGTCAATAAATCAGATGCTGAGATGTCTCCATCAAGGCCTTTAAGAGATCTAGGAAGGTGGTGAGTGATTCACCTTCCAGCATCTAACCAAAACTGAAAAATGACTATGTTGGCGGACTGGCATGATAATTCATAATGCATAGACAAGTTTAAAAAAAATGTTTTAAATGTAACGTACCTCTTTAAGGTTCCTGTACAAAAGGTCATTATTCTTCTCCAAAAAACCTAAACAAGTGATTCAAAATGCTGTGTTAGAGCTGCAAATCTGAAAGTGAAATCATCAAAATCACTACTACCTCCCTACCACATCAACAAAAGGAGCCCGAAATCACATGCTATGCTCTAAGGAGACTCTGCTGCTTATAGCTTAAATTATCAAATACCCAGCATGTGGGCACTTGTGGGGCATTTGCTTGCCCTGATCATGACCTGCTCTTGTCACTTGCTGCCCTTTAAAAAAAAAATCCCCTATTCCTACAAACAATCTGGTTGAAAAAGAGACCTGATGAATTACTGTTTATTGTTTAAGTGTATTGCCACTTTGGCAGTTAAATTTAGTTAAACCCCCACTATATGTTTGTTATGTGTTCCCATTCACACAGCATACCTAAAATATATATATTTTAAATATTTCTTACCATAGCTGTTTCTTTAAAAGAGGCCTTTGGCCAGACTGCAAGTTACTCTGAACAGTTTGTGGCTAAAGTCGGGTATACACGTTTTTATTTTTTCCGTTCAACCCGCAGAGTAAACGAAAAAAACAGATTCCTCCATCAATGCTTACAAATGTTGATCGAGGAATCCCCTGCTGTTTTCATTGCATTCCCGAATACCCAAACAGAGCTTGCAGATGATTGGCTGCAAGCTTCGTTCGTCCGGGAATTTTCCAACCAGCGCCTTCCATCAACTGATCAAGGGTGGACGGGTGCCGACAGTGGCACCCACTGTGCAAATTTTGGCCAATTCATCAGGAACCGGCTGAAATCCAGCCCATATATTAGGTATGTTCCTAAGGGTAACAGACTGTATTTTCTCTTATTAACATACAATGCTTCTTGATCTTTAACCCTTTGTTATAGTTTTATCAGTGCTTTGTTTACAACTGATAATGAGATCTGCCAGCACAGTACAGACTGTAAATTTTGGTAAACATTAGCACCTCAGCCCTCTTTAATCTCCCGCCTTGAAATTACAGAGAATGGATAAACTTCAGTTTAGGAGTTGTCAGAAAAGTAAAAACAAGTAACAATTTTTAAATATTGTTTCAAAGATATGCTCTGTGAAAGGGAATATGTGACAAGTATAAAACGAGTGTTATCCCAATTTGGCTGCAAAGGTGGAAATACACCCTAAAAAAGTACTCCGGGGCAAGTTATTATTAACCCCTTGCAGTGGGGCTGCCCCCGCACTGTGGGGTTAACTGCTTGTTTTGGTCTAGGGAGGAAAATAACAAAGTTATATTTAACAGATCCTCCGGGCTGGCTTAGTCTTAGACCAGTCCCTGGAGCCTCCCTTGCTGTAAGGCAGCATTTGGTCACGCTAGAGATTCCACACATGCACATGTCCCATTCTTCGTATTGCGAGGAAACATGCGCTAGTGTGCAGGCGCATGCAATGAAACGCGTGCAGGAAGACGCGTTAACTGGCCGGTGCACTGGATGTGATGTAACTTCCATTGATAGACTGGCCTATATATAAACGAGACTGCCCTGCTAACATGTGCTGAATGGTCTGCAACTAGTATCTGGTGATTCTGCTACCTGTTCCGTGTTTCCTGTGTCTGACCCGGATTGCTTCTCGAACTCTCCTGTGATTGCTGCCTGCCTCTTGACTTTGGCCTGTTATCGAACTCTGTCTTTGCCTTCTGCCTTGGTACCTCATTGCCCGGCTGATTTTGACCCTTGGCTTGCCCTGTGCTCGTCTATGATTCCTGTCTTGACTTTGGTTCCGTGTGACCTGCTTCTGGACCCAGTTTCCGAACTGTTACCCGGCACGGTGTCCTCACACTCATTGGCACTCACGCTACTCTCTGTCCACTCACTCCCTGTCTCCATCCCCAGGGGTGTAGTACAAGAGGCGCAAGGGGAACCTCCTCACCTATTCGGTCTCCAAGCAGGTACGTCATACTCCCCATCCACTGCAGCAGTCTAAGGTCCCTGAGTCAACTGTTCTATACACATCGCTGGAGCGGAGGAGGAGATAGGCTGGAGGAAGTGCTGTCAGCCAGCGAATCCGAGGATCGGGTGAGTATAATTTTGTTATTTTCCTCCCCAGACCAAAACAAGCATTTAACCCCTGCAGTGCGAGGGTAGCCCCACTGCACGGGTTAATAATAATATTTTCTGGAGTTCTGGTTTAAAGAAAAGCGCCACTTTTGTTGAGAAAAAAAAATCACTCTGGGTGATCAATGTACATTGCAAAGATTTTAACAAATATCAGGTTCAGCAGATTCCTAGCTTTTTCTGTTCTGAATAAAAAGCTGTTTGGTTTACTATGTCTTTTTCATATTGATCCCTGAATGGAAGGGTTTAATTCGTTATAACCACCTGGTGTACGTTAAGTGTTCTAATGAGAAAAGTTGAAGTGTCTGCATCCCCTCAGAAGTAGTTAACCATTAAGGACAATCTTACCAAAAATAAAATTTCTATTGGAGGGGATCTCTAAAAATTTACTGGTATTTTAGTGCAGACTTCTGGGAAATTTGTGAGCCAATCACACCATCAGGAAATGGCAATTCTGGGGGCATGCCGTACCCCAATGGTGAACTAAATGCCTCCAGGTTGCCATATTGCATTTAACTTTTGTAACAGTTTTAGAAAAATACAGACTTTATACTGCAATGGAAAGGTAATTTGGATTAACATTAAATTATGTAATGGCTTGTGTCGCAATTTTATATGCAGTATTTTTTATTTTTACAAAGGTGGAGTTTTCCTTTAAGTTTGCCCATTACCATTTTTGTTACATAGTTACATAGTGAGTCGGGTTGAAAAAAGACACAAGTCCATCGAGTTCAACCTATCGAGATCTGAAAAAAAAGCTTAAACAGAACGCTATGCCCACAGTTAACCCCTGTTGATCCAGAGGAAGGCAAAAAAAACCCCCTCTAATGCATGGTTCAATTAGCTCCAAAAGGGGAAAAAAATTCCTTCCTGATCCCATAAGGCAATCGGATATTCCCTGGATCAACAATCTCTGATGCCTAATGTGACGGACCCCCCTACTCAGGATGAGCATGTCTGCCGCTGTCTTTTTCCTTGCTCAGGAGATATCGAAACCCGCTGATCTGTAGCTCCCAGTTTCCCCAGTCACTAGTCGAGGCTCGAGTGTAGGTGAAACAAACTCTGGTTTATTGAGCGACTGCACAAACTTTTATACAGCAAGTGATGAGATCAGAATATAACCCCATCACATCCACCCTCCCCTCCCAGACAATCGGTCTGCTCAACACCACAGGGCTTCCCCTGCTAACGAGCTCCAGACAGCCATAGCAGGAGCCTGGCCAGAATGTCATTGTTCTGAGCTCCCTCAGAGAACAATGGAAGATAACGAGGGATGGTGCTGATAGTCTTTCCATAACCAGGTTACTCAGTATAAAGCACTAAAACATAACTCAACACCAATACACATTTAACTCATACAACTGATCACCATGTCGTCACACCTAATATATCTATAATAACTCAATATCCAGTAATATTCTGTGCATTTAGGAATACATCCAGATGTTATTTAAAACAATTATTCAAGCTACCTAGAACAAGCTCCTGGGGGAGTCTATTCCACATTTTCACAGCTCTAACTGTGAAGAATCCTTTCCGTATGCAAATGTTAAACCTCTTTTCCTCCAGACGCAAAGAGTGCCCCCTTTGCCTTGCAGTGACCTTAAAGTGAATAATTTGGCTCTAAGCTCACTATATGGACCATTTATGTATTAAACATGGTGATCATGTCCCCACTTAATCGTCTCTGCTCCAGAGAGAACAAATTCAGGGCAGTTAATCTTTCCTCATAGCTGAGCTCCTTCATGCCTCTTATGAGTTTAGTCACCCTTCACTGCACTTTCTCCAGTTCCACAACATCCTTTTTGTGAATTGGTGCCCAAAACTGAACTGCATATTCCAGATGAGGCCTTACTAATGCTTTGTACAGGGGCAGGATTATGTCTCTAGCTCTGGAGTCTATACCCCTCTTAATACAAGAAAGTATTTTGCTTGCTTTAGAAACTGCGGCTTGACATTGCATGCTATTATTCATGATCTAACGGAACACCCAGATCTTTCTCCATCATTGACTCCCCCAAACATACTCCCCCTAGAGTATAGGACGCATGCATGTTTTTAGTCCCCAAGTGCAGAACTTTACATTTATCAACATTAAACCTCATTTGCCAAATAGATGCCCAATTACACAGAGCATTCAGATCTGCTTGTAAGTTGGAGACATCCTGTAAGGACTGTATTCCACTACATAACTTGGTGTCATCTGCAAACACAGAACTAGTACTTGTAATCCCCAATTCTATGTAATTTATAAATAATTTAAACAGTAAGGGACCCAACACTGAACCTTGGGGGACGCCACTAACAACCTCAGACCATTCAGAGTATGAATCATTGATCACCACTCTCTGAATACGGTCTTTAAGCCAGTTTTCTACCCAATTACAGATCGAATGCTCTATACCAGGGGTGGCAAACACAAGGCCCGCGGGCCGAATCCGGCCCGCCGGACCTTGTAATGTGGCCCGCACAGCAGCCAGGGCCGGTCCGCTATGCCGACTCTGCAGAGCAGTGTCTACTGTGTGGTAGCGAGCAGAGCCGGCACTACCACACAGTAGACACTAGAGGGCGCTGGTGGGGGAGGCCAGAGAAACACCTCCTCCCCCAGCCCTCTCTACTTTGTGCTCTTTCCGGAGCTTGCGGGTGCTGTTCCTGCAGCCTGCACTGTCCCGAGATATTAACATATGAATGGGTCGCGGCAATTTGCATATCAATAAGCCGCGGCCCATTCATATGTAAATATAGCGGCTCATTCATATGCAAATAGCCGCCCCTCCCCCGCTGCTAAGGCAGAAAAAATACACCCCCCTCCCCCCATTAATGGAGAATGGCATTGCTTATAATATTATTTTTAAGCAAAAACAATTGCATGTGATCCTTGATCAAACTTTCAAGTATCTGTTTATGTTTAAGGTAACACAGCAAATATTTTTTTTTTTTAGTTGATTGTTAAAATATTTACTTACCCACAGCACAGTATGTGACCTCCCCTGCATAGTGAATAAGTTGGAAGTCTACCCAGTCAATATACCTCCTTGTCCCAGGACCTGCAAGCTTGCGGCTGTAAATAACATAGCAGATAATATGGAAAATAATTTGGCATAAATACATTTACTACCCAGTGCCCAGTACAGGAATTATACATAGCTAGCCACTCAGCCACCGCTGACATCAGCCACATTCCTACCACCCAGGCTGAATTATGTCATTAGTTTGGGAAGTAGGTAGCCACAGAACAACACTTGCAATGTCTGTAGCTATATTTCGAATTACACAAAGTTAAAACAGATCTGTACTTAAAGAAGTTAAGATTTGCTATCATATAGAGAATATCTAAAAGAGTTTATTGTGGCTAAGCAGTCTACTTTTTGCTTCCTGATATATGGCCATTCCCAGCGTGATTTCCTTCTGAGCACAACAAATGTTTTATTACTTTACTATTAGTATGTTTTATTTTTTTTACTAATTTATTGTTACTTTGTAAAATGTAATATATAATAAAGCTATCGGTTTGAGGAACTCAACATGGACACTTACGTTAAGAAATGAGGATGGTCCCCAACCTTCTCCTCTAACTTTGCTAGAAAGCTAAGGTCTGTGGCTTCACCAGGCCTCAAACACTCCTCATCCTGCAGTAGGAAAAAAAGACAAAATACATGAAAAGAATCTACTATGCAAATTCGAGTTGTACCTATATTATGTCAAGGCTTGCCTAGTAGTACTGACATGAGTCTTTAATCAAAATCAAGGGTGTATGAGAGGAGTTCAAGTGATACTTATTTATCGTGTCACTAACTTTAAAGCACAAGCTGTATTTATTTTTTTGGCTTTAAAACTCCCTGCTGTGAGCAAAAAAAAAAGAAAGTTTGTTAAAGGAGAACTATGGGGTCAGTGTTTTTCCCCATAGTTCTCCTTAAGGTAACGGGAGGACACAAACTAGCGTCCTCCCGTTACCCTAAGCTCAGTATACCGCGAGCTACAGCTCGCGGTATACTGAGACGCCGCACCTGGAGCGGATCCCGACGTAGATGACGGGATCCGCCCAGCTGCGTGAGTGACAGCTGGCTCTGCCTATCTAGAGGCAGAGCCAGCTGTACCCGCCCCCTCCCCCGTCCGTTCCGCCAGTCAGCGCTGGCAGATCGGAGCGGGGAGAGGGGAATCCAGCCCCTCCCCCTGTCACGGCAGAGAGCCGTGACAGGATCGAGAGGTGAGGGAACCCGGTATGTGTTCCCTCACCTCCCGATCTAATGAGCCGACCTGTGACAGTCTCATTGTCACAGGTCGGCTTAGGACTATGAGGTGAGTGGAACTCACTCATCTCATAGTTCTCCTTTAAACACTATTTCTCAGCCATTTTAAGCCTCCAGGGTATACATCACATAAATGTAATTCAAACAATAGAGGCACTTGCAAGACTTGTAAAGGTGGAAAAAAAATTATATTTATTTATTAACTGCCATTTTAGTAAGCTGTATCTTTTCTGAAATACAAAAGTTTATTTTTTTCTACCTTTACAAGTCCCGCAAATGCCCCTAATTCATGGATTACATTTAAGTAATGTGAGTGCACCCAGGTATTAACCCAACTTTAGCAGTGCCATATAATTTTTTTGTGTGGAACCACATGCCCCAGCATTTCTTTCACAAAGTTTTATATAAGCTCTGCTCTTTTACACTCCAAACTTGCTGCCTTTTATCTACAGTCCATCCTGCTGTGCACATGAGGGGGCGGGCAATGCAAGGGTAGATTCTGTATTTACCTGGAGTTTAGCTTTTAGCACTTGCAATAACTGTATTCATTCCTTATATAAAAATAAATAGGGGAAAACACTTACATTATACATCTGTGCTGCAGCTTTTCAATACAAGGGCGGTTGGACAGATAAGTATATTTAGATTTCTGTGCACATTTATGGCCATCAATAGCTAAGGGTCAGTTGGTTGTAACCCCCCCTAAAGTTCCCAGTCCTCTTCTGATGTGAGCCCAAGCTGTCATTGACACACCCCCTGGGGGTAACTCACTATGACACCTGGCTCACAGAAATAGCTGCAAAGAACACTGCTCACATGGCATACCATGTACGCTATTCTATGCAGCAGTGAAGACTGACAATGCTGAAGAGGATCAGGAAGAGAAACCAGGTTTGTCATATAACTGCGTGGAATACACCTGAATATAAGGTTGGTATGTATACTTTAATGCTTTAAAAACAGGGTGCATGGTAGAGGGGTGTTAGGACTAGGAGATGGGGTTGGCTTTGATGCAATGGGTCACTTGGATTCCCATGTACTGCACTTGTCATGCGTAAAAAGTCTCCCTCTGAAATCCTGCATTTACTCCTGAAAGCGCTAATTCACCAATGGACACCTTAAATGCATAGTGTCATATTCTCTAAATTGGCAGAAGAAAGTTATACTAAGAGATGCTTCTGCTAATCTCCTTTAAAGAAAAATAGTTCCCTAGCTGTCTTTGACTTCAATAATTCTTCAAACATGTAGATATAAATGTTAGAGTGAAGTCAGAGCTCCTGATCTGTATACTGGTTCCTTTGAATGTACAGAAGCCACTGTACCAGCATGACAGCCAGGAAGAGGTCAGCAGTAGCAGCCTACATATTCTTTCCTATAAAATGAAAGCACATACCTTTTGTAATACTACATTTGTAAAATTTCAAGAATGTATTACTTTTACTTTTGAAAATAATAAAAACTGGTTACATAAATAAATGCTAATTTACCATTATAGCAATTATTCCTTTGTATTTTTCTTCAATTAAATCACAAATGATCTTGTTGTCAAAATATTGGACTGGCTCCCACTGACCAGGAAAAAAAAATACAATATTGTGAGTTTATATTAATATAATAAAAATAATAATAATGATATAAATAAATATGTATTTACTTTATTCATCTCCTTAGGAGACTAACTGTGTACAATGAATTACCTGCAGATCAGATAGATACATGCATACACATAGTTGGGCACTGCAAGCACCATCTCAAAATCTGCATTACACCCAACTTTAAACAATGCATGTATATTTATCTTCTCTGTGTATATTATATAATACATTGTAAACATGAGAGTGCATGCAAACATTCAGGCATTATTTAGGGCACATCCACACCATACCATTGCATTAAACATGTGGGATCTGTGCATTTAGCACACACTATTGCACACAGTACCACACACTAGGTGCACTGGTGTGTTGCATTGTCATTAATTCTGAATGGCACCCCATTGCACCATGCATTGCTAAGTCCTGCGTGTTTAGCACAACACTATAGTGTGAATGGGCCCTTAGTCTCTGTATATAATGCCTATATAAATTACATTACTGCTCATGTGATTGGATCACTGCTTCTCTTAACAGTTCTTCTCTTAAGGTCCCCACACACCTTACGATAATCGTACGATAATCGCGGGAAATCCCGCGATCGTACGATTATCGTAAGGTGTGTGGAAGCCGTGCGACCTCTACTACTGTAAGGTCGCACGACTTTAAACTTACGAACATGTTTCAAAACCCGCCGAGCATCGTACGATGTTTGGCGGGTCTGTAGCATGTTCATAAGATAAAAGCCGGACGGGCCGGTGTGCGCAAGCGCACACTGCCCGTTCGGCATTGCGGTCATCAGAAGCCCGCCCCTCAGGGGGCGCGGCTTGTGATCATCGCAAGTACGATCTGCCTATGCAAGATAGGCAGATCGTATGTTTTTTTAAGTACCTTACAACCATCGCAAGACAAAAGTCTTGCGATGGTTGTAAGGTGTGTGCCCAGCCTTACTCTTCATAGTTCTCCTTTAACAGAACAGAAAACAGAACTCTGCCATTATTGCTAGGGTCATAGGGTAATTAGAACTGGAAGTAAGGAAAGAGTTAATGGGTTTTTGTGATGGCAACCTGGAGAAGGGAGGAGGTGGGTTTTCAATTAAATTTTGCTTTTAAAGGTTCAATCAGAACCACATATGTCACACAATAGCATACTGCAAGAGAATGTTTCCAGAGAAATCATAATCCAGAAGAAAATAAATGAGAAAACTGACATGAGAGAGACAGATAGAATATCTCTGGATAACTCCAGCATACATATTGAGGGGAATTTGCTAAGAATGGAGCAGACAAAATCTGGAGCAGCTGTGCATGATAACCAATCAGCTTCTATCTTTCATTTTTTAAAGTTTAACTGAACCAGATAAAGATAGAAGCTCATTGGATATTATGCACAGCAGTTCCAGTTTTAGTTCCACCTTTTTTTCTCTAAATTAGTACATGATTTTCAGTACCTCAATTCCCTCTATCTCATATTCCTCTTGCTCTGCCTGGAGTGTCATAGAAATGAAGAGTTGCTGAAGTTTTTCATTACAGTAATTAATGCAAAACTGTTCAAAGCTACAAAGAAAGAAAGATGATTAATGTTTGCTTAGAAAATAAAAAAAACTTTCAAAACAGCATTCTGCTATGTTACTTGAAAATTCACACTAATGTGACATAATTTTAATCATCAGACTTTGCTGATTATATTATGAGGGTGTGCAAATTACGTAAGCATTGCATTGGGGAAAATTACATTGCATGCAATTGCATTTTTTTCTTAGTTTGACTATTTATTTCCAGGTAAAAAAAAATACTGTATATCTAAATTTGCTACCAAATTAAAGACCTATCTGTCCAGAAAAATATGTTAGGGTACACTATAAAACCTAAAAGATATTACATGTGGAACTGAGATGAAACAAATAAAAACTCTGGGACTCAGGGGGGCTTAAGGAGAAAAAGGTCCTGGGGACTCAAGTGGTTAAGAACCACAAGTGAGAGACCAGATCTGCCCATACTTGAACACCCAAGACCTACAAATGATTATCCTGCAACTTACTTGATGAGAAGAAACACTGCAGCCACTACCTAAAGCCCATTTCCACCTTTGCAGAGGTATTTTGCAATGCACACCAAGTCTACACGAAGCAGGCATATGCAGTTGCTGTATATGAAGACAGAAACTTACTTTTTTGTTAGCTGTCCCCCTTTATCTCCTCATGGCTCCTTTTAAAATGGTCGTCAGCTGCTTTACAATCTGACCCCAGTGTTAGACTGAGTTTCCTGTGGAGAAAACGTTCAATTTGTAGGACTCAGGCCTATCAAAAAGTCCATAAAAAAATAAGAAAAATATTAAGAAATGTGAAAACCAGCAATGTGAATCATGAACATGTGCACACATATACATCTTCACTGCACCTCTACATTACCACAATAAATGCTAATCACTTACAAAGGTGGAATGGGCTTTAACCTTTCTGACTGAGAAGAGGAAAGGATTGGGAAGGTTTGATTATCAAGGTTCTTGGTGTCATTACTGCTCATTGCTGTTCCCTGTCTGGCCCTGTCCTTTTCAAGCATCACATCATGTTGTCTGAGCAGAGTAAGGCCATTTATGGGCAGCCTTATAATTATTCAAGAGTTGAGTTTTACCTGTTTGTTTCAAACACTTCAAAGCCGTAAATATCTAGAAGTCCAATGACTGTTTTCTTTGGTGGCTCCTGTTAGACAGTACAAGTTTACTGACGTTAGCTACACAGCCAGTCTTTACTACTGATCAACAAATAGAGAAACATAAAAAGGACTTTTCACATTCTTTCACCAAAATAAGGTGCCTTGGGCATGCACCATATACGTAAGAGCTGCTGTCAGCACCCATGGATTAGTATAAACAAAACTGCAGGCTTATTAGTTCAGGAGAGCTGACAGATTGGGACTTTCCCCTGTATAAGGAGCTGGCCACCTCTTACCCCATCAGACTTCTCTCATGGCTTTCTCCCTCCGTCAGCCACTTCTCTCCCAGTCATGCCCCCAAATCTGACCACTCTTCTGGCAGTGTCTTCACCAGTCACAACACTATCACACCTGTCAAACATCACCTCTCCAGGTCTTCTCCCCCTACCCTAGCCTGTGGGGAATGCTGGTATGAATGGGTTAGTTAATCGTCAAACTAATTTAAAAAATGTATGAATGGGTGTGAAGGTAAATAAAGCCATTGATATGAATGTGAGTAGGTGAAATGCGGGCAGTGGTTACTCACCACTGTGCTCACTTTACAGCTCAGTACTAAATATAAACACGGTTTATATAATAATAAAAGAAAATATATATACAATTATTAAATATACTTTCAACTTCTTGTGCATTTTTGTGTATTTAATAGAATTTTACACATTAAAAAATGTCCAAATAGCAACTTAAAAAAGGAACAAGAAATCAACACAAGCATGCACTCAGTGTTATAACTGCAAAAGTTGCTCTTTTCGACCCCCTTTTTTAAAAACGAAATGTATTAACTACCTCTAATGACAACAAAATATACCAATAATACACAAAAAACAACTGCCTTACACCTTTAAAAGTGGAAAAAAAAGCAGCTTTCGATGCAATACTCATTTTATCCCTGATGCTAAATCCCACAGACTAACCACTCCAAGGTCCAGTGCTGCTCATCATCAAGGTTGAATGATGGCCAGCATTATCCAACCCACTTCTTATGGGCCCAGGCTGTCATGGACACACACCCTTAGCTTTCCCAAAAAGTACAACTGTTGTTCTACCCCTCAGACATGTCTTGGGTCGCAGTAAATTCCCCCTATATTTACTAGCAAAAAAGTTGGTTATAAAATGTAGTGTATGGATTTAATTTACAGGTTAAAAATAAAAAATATTGTAAGCACAGCCATGCTTAATGTTTTTTTTTACTGTGTCCAAGCATAGATCATGGTTTAAAGCCTCCAAAACGATGCATTTTTTCACTAAAAGGAAGATGAAAAGGGAAACAAAGAGGGAAAGCTAGAGAGAGAAAAATCTCCTCTCACTGCTAGTATCTAACCAGAAACGTGACTCGCTTCCCCAAATGCTGCACAGATCACGTTGTTCCCTGAAACCTCTTCACTGTAGCATTCTTATAACTGTGCTGGGATAATTGGCATATCAGGAAGCTCAATGTGAATGAATGGCCTCTCTTGGCTTAAAAGCACCTGACATGCAGAGGTGGCCTCTAGACCTTCTGAGGCCTTAGGTGAAACTCAAGCGTGAGGCCCCCACTCACACCCATAATGAAACAAAATGCAAGTGATAATTAAAAATTAACTGTATAAATTGCACATTTTAAGACTAGCCTTAAATCCCAGAGGGACTACAAATCACAGCAATAGATTATACAGCAATTCAGAATACCATCAGCTATGGAGGACTACAAATCTCAGTAATACATTATACAGCAATGCATAATAATACCATCAGCTGCTGAGGGCTACAAATCCCAGCAATACATTGTACTACAATGCAGAATGGCAACAGCTATAGAGGACTATAAATCCCAGTGATACATTATACAGCCATGCAGAATAATACAATCAACTATGGAGAACTACAAATCTCAGTAATACATTATACAGCAACGCAGAATGGCACCGGCTCGGCTACAGAAGACTACAAATCCCAGCAATACATTATACAGTAATGCCCAATAATACCATCAGCTATAGAGGACTACAAACCCCAGCAATACATTATACAGCAATTTATTATACAGCAATTATAATTAGAGCAATTATTTAAAAATATTCACAATGCAACATGACTTTTCCTACTTTCCTCAGCTGTTTACTTGTTGGGTCAGGGCAGGTGCACTTCTCCCAGGTTTTGGGTGCATACAGCAGATATGAAAGTGGCTCTGCTAATCATTATGCAAATGTATTTTTGGCTACACAAAAGTACCTAACTTACCTGGCTAAAGAAGTAATGATAGCTAACTTGTATTTCCCTGTTCTTTATTGCAGGCGCTATGACAGCACCTCCTGCCAGAGTTCCTGCAACAGAGACCAGGGCCCATCTTTTAAAATGACAGCGATTGATTCCAAAAAGAAGACACCTCTCCTGTAGTAATGCCTATAAGGAGTATAGTTGCCCTAATACATAAATCAACCCGATCAGCTATATATGTAGCTGTTTGACTCCAAAAGTCAAATATGTATTTATAAAAAATTAAAAACAAACATTCAGCCTTTTTTTCCTGTGGGATAAATTAATTCCAATAAATTTGCACATTTCCATTCATTATTGTCATATCGGTAAAAAAATAAATAAAGCAAAATCTATCTTATAGACATATTCTGCAAATTGATAAATGTGTCATCATTTTCATCCCTAACCTGGTTTATTTTATTTTAGGTTTGCACTCCACATGCTTTACTAGATAATAATTCATGAAAACACACATCCAACAGATACTTAGCTCACATGCTTTACCTTATTTGCAAGAGATCCATTGATTTTGTTGACAAGCCAGTTAAAGGATCTTCCGTACATAGCTTTGGCAAGGGCATCTCTAGCATAATATGCCAATTCTAAATTGAGAGGACTGAGGACCTGCATATAAAAAGAGCTGCAGAACTTAATAATGCAATTTTAATTTCACAGTTACATAGTTTATAAGGTTAAAAAAAAGACAGAGGTCCATCATGTTCAACTGTGTGTGTGCGTTTTATGTGTTTGATCCATAGGAAGGGGGGAAAAACACAACACCTACAAGTATAAGCCAATTTGCAATAAGAGAGTACAAAGTTCTTCCTGGCCCCACACTGGTGACTATATAAATCCCTGGATAATACTCATAATACATTTGAGAATTCCCATAGCGCTATATATTATTCCTGACTGAGGAAGATACCTAAAAGTTTTATAATTTATCAGCACTACTAACTAATACTACTTCCTGGGGACCTCTTTCTTAGTTTAAGATTAAACCTCTTTTTGTTTAATCCTGAATCATGGCCACATGTCTTCTTCAGGGACCTTAGAGGGAAAAAAGGTTATACAGTTTATATAATGACCTTTGATATATTTATACATTGTTATCATATGCCCCATTAAATGCCTCTACTCTAGAGTAAATAAATGTAATCTTTGTAATCATTCTTCATAATTGAGGTCTTCTAACCCCCTTATTAATTTTGCCTTTCTTTGAACTCTTTTTAGTTTAAGGACATATTGCAAAACTGAATTACATATTCAAGATGAGGCCAAACCAGTGTTAATAAAGGTAATAAAGGGGTAGAATTATGATCTATCTCTTGAATATGTTGCCTTTTTGATACAAAAGAGTGTTTTGCTAGCTGTGTTAGCAGGGGATTGGTTTTAAATAATGTTGCTAAGTTTTTAAATTACAATGATCCCAAAATCCTTGCCCATCACAGATTCACCCAGAGGAGCACCTCCCAAAAAGTATGTGGCATGGATACTTCAGCGCCCAAGTGCACAACATTACATTTTCAATATTGACTCTCATCTGCCATTGTCAGGAAGCAGGGGGTGTTACCTCTACTCGGGGACCTTCAGCTCGGTAGAACACCTGGTGCCCGAGGTGCAGGTGCGCATGCGTGAGTCACGCGGCGTGGGTGCATGCGCAGTACACAGGCTGCTATGCATCCCCGGGAGCATAGCGTTCCTGCATCATCTGGCTATCAGGTGTGAGCCTTGCTGGGAGAGGTTCCCAGTACACACCTTCCCTCTTCCTCCCCTGCCATTGGTTCCCGGGGAGGGAGGCCTCCTGGTTGCCTCGGTGACCAGGGGGTGGTCCTACCTCCCCTGGCTATAAAAACCTGGCCTGAGCTCTGGCTTATTGCTGAGTTATTCCACCTTATGGTGAACACCTAGCCTCCCTGCTGATCCTCCTATTGCCTGTTGCCCCTTTGTATCCTTCCCGATTACCGACCCTTGGACTGTCTTCCGCCTTTGAACCTTCGCTGCCTGCCTCGACCCGGATTGGAAATTGACTACCCCTCTTGGATTATCCCTAAACTTGTACCGCGTTTCTGGACTGTCAGCTGCTTACTGCCAGTGGGTTCCTCATCTCACTACTAGCTCCCTGGGACGTCTGACAGCCATGCAGCTACCCACCCTCTTTTTTATCTAGATTTTCCTGTAACAGTGAAACGTCTTGAGCCAAATTGATTTTCCTGCATAATTTGGTATTGTCAGCAAACACTGAAGCTGAAACTTTTAATTCCAACCTCAATATCATTAATAAACAAGTTAAACATGTGCAATATGGTGCTTTATATCTGGACTACAATCAACTCTTCAATCAATCTTCAATCCTAAGAAAATTAAATGCTGCAAGCATTCAATCTCTTCCGTCAATTGTTATTTTGACGTGTCCATTACTTGCAGTGGTCATAATCTTGTTCTTTTACATGTTTAAGAAAAGGCCAAACTTCTCACTTTCTTCTTTGATCCTTTAGTTTAGATGTTTCAGTCCTTTTTCGGTTTCTTAGAGAAGGGTCGTGTCATCAGTGTATCAAAGATTATTAGTGTTCCTTTATCCAAAAAAATAAAGTCACTTAACCATATTATTTTTATATTTATCAGAAAAAAAATTACATACCTGTTCTGACCTTGCCTCAATCTTTTTATGTGTTAATGCTTCTTGCAAAATAGACAGGGGAACCCCAAGAAGCTGTATGAAGAAGTCAAAAAAAGCGTTATGTAATACAACATGCTTTATGAATCTTACAGACACAATTAACACAGTCACCTTACAAAAGTATGATGCATGTGGTTGTTTCTTAACACATTCCATGCAGTTACTGAAAATCTTAGTTTAATCTCAGCCTAAATCATACAAGAATGCCTTGAGCATCCATTTATGTCTGTTTCTAAACATTACTTCATGTTACCATTTAAAGTGAATCTGTACTGAACACTGAAATAATAATGATAAGCATGCACATACATTTAGGCCTAGTTCACACTAGACACAGTGCGTTCCGGCCCGATTCTGGCTGGAACGCACTGGATCGCATTGCGGCCGGCTCCCTTTGTTGTGAGGCGGGAAGGCGGGAGGGGGCGTGGCGGCCCATTGAAGTGAATGGCTCCGGCCACAATGCGATCGGTCGCATGGGAACGTGTGGCACATCAATGCCTGCATTCTCGTCCAGTCTGGTCAGAAAAAATAGTGCTTGCAGCATTTTTTCTGACTGGACCGGACCGCAGGCATTGATGTGCCTTGCGTTCCCGTGCAGCCGATCACATTGCGGCCATTCACTTCAATGGTACGCCACATTCCCTCCCGCCCCACAACAAAGTGAGCCGGCTGCAATGCGATCCAGTGTGTTCTGGCCAGTATCGGGCCAAAACGCACTGAAGATGGTGTGAACTAGCACTTAGTGTGTTATAGATCACTCTGGTGACCTTCCACGGAAGTTGACACTTTGGATCACCTCTTCCTGCTTTCTTAGTGTTGGTAATGGTCAGTGATACAATCAATCATATTTTTTGACCAGTAGTAATGTGCTGGAGGCTAAGATCCAAGGTCCTGGCTACCTAAGACTAACTGTCTGTAATTGTATAATGGAGGGTTCTTAGGTTCCTAAGGTGCCTGAGAAGACTCTAGAGGTATGTGGGCATTTCTGGGTTTTTTCATCAATATTCTGTTGATACTTTGCAATGTTAATCACCATCTATGTGTAGCAGGTAAATTAATAGCTATCCAAGGAATGGTATTACTAGGCTCAAGCTTGAGGGAGATCTAAAGATTTAGAGCAGTGGTTTAACCTCAGGACCCACATTTGTCCTTGGTCATTAGATCGCGAACCAAGTCGCACCGGACTGGAACACGCGGCATTGCAGTACCACGTGTTCCAGGCGATCAAACTGTGTGCGAGAAGTGCGTTTGGGGTGCCATTCAAACGAATAGCAGTGCACTGCAACTCCCACACCAGAACATACGGGAGGTTCAATTGTGCGGTTCAGTTAACACCTGCAGGAAAGAATCAGCACTGATCTGTTTCTAGAAGTGATGAAAGCTAAGCAAAATAATGAAGAAACTCTGCAGCAATTTGTTTATAGAATCAAGCAACTAGTACTGTGGCAATTTCAACAAGTAGGCACTGGTTTTCTTCACGATAAGAACCTGATAGAAGGAGTATTTCTTCACACATTATTCGAGGGGTTATATTATGACACCACTTGTTGTAGTAGTAATTTATCCCTTGCTGAGACCTCTATGCCTGGCATGTATAAGCCGAGACAATCATGCGAGCGTACAAATGTGGCCATGAGACAAGCGGCCATGATACCAAAAAGTCTACTTGGACAAGAAAGGAAGTACATCATACACAAGGGGAGGGGATACAGAAAATGATGGTGCAATAACCAAAATGATAACAAGATGGCAGTATATAAACCAATTATACTAGTGCCAATGAACAATGGCTTAAGGAAAATTAACTTTATAAATTCTCAATTCACAGTAATAGAAATATTAATCATGACTATGCATTGTATCATATTTTCATACAATAGATGTAACAGCACAGGTTAAGTGAAAATATATTGACATTTGAAGCAATATCAAACTATATATTTTAGTAAGTGATAATGCTATTCTAGAGTAAGTTACTAAAACAGCCAGAATAGAAGCAGAGAGGCAAGTCTGACTGAGTGGCACTGTTAGACCCAAAAAACAAATGCCACAAATAGAAGAGGCAATAGACTATGGCAACACCATTCACGTTTTACAAAATTATCTGTGTAAGTTGCTGCTCTAGCAATAAAATGTACAGTACAATCGCCGTTGCTGGCAAGTGTAGTAGATGGTCCAGCAAGGTTGTTAGATAATGATGGTAAAAGCAGGAATATGCAAAGATATAAACAAATTATTAACCAAGAAAATTAAAATGTAGGCACTGCTTTAACTGTGAATGGGAAGGCCATATGATGTAATGGTCTATAAAAAAGAGAAAAGCTGTTGGGAAATGAGAAATGGCCACAGTGTGGGACAACCGGCTATAATATAGAGTACCAAGTCACTGCAGGAACGAAAAAGAAACCTGTAAAGCACTTTGATACAATACGCAAAAAAAAGAAAGTCAGACTGATAGGTAACAAATACTCACTTATTATTTTAGATGGTGTACCCACAAACATAGTTAATTATTATTATTATTATTATTTTATAGGATTTATATAGCGCCAACAGTTTGTGCAGCACTTTACAATATAAGGAAGACATTACAATCACAATACAATTCAAGACAAGATGGTAAGGAGGGCCCTGCCCCTGAGGGCTTACAATCTAAAAGGAATGACACAGGTTCCCAAGTAAGCATTGTGACTGCAAACTGGGTGAAACAACACCAGAAGCAAACTGCGATTCAGTTAATTGACAAACTATTAAGAAAGTATTGCAAGCTAACTATTATATTTACAGCATCTCACAGAAGAAGAACTGATACTTGCTAGAATGATGTTATATTAAGATTCAGGCATCTTTGCAAAAAGAGGAGGGGGAAATTGGATGCATTCCTAATTTAAAGCTTTGGATTACTTTAGCTATAAGACACCAATGCAAAAGTCTTATAACTCCATACCAAACCCCCTGTACTAGGAGGTCAAAGACTACATACATAATCTGTTTCCTGTAGTTTGTGTAAGAAAAAAAAGATGGGAGCTTGATACTATGTGTAGACATTTGAAAATTGCAATAGAAAACTGTGCCTGATAGACATCCTTTGCTTAAAGTTAAAAAAAAAAAGTGTAAAAAGTAGAATGAGAGCTCCAGACCAAGAAATGTTTAGAGTCCAAAATTTTAACATTTACAGCAAAAACAACAGTAGATAGCCAAAGTATTTTGGGGGCTACAATTCCCCCCTTCATCAGGGCTAAAAAAATAAAAGAATAAACATCATAAGAATATTTTTGAAAATCCATATATAGGAAACAAATTAGTGTGCCAATTGTAGTGTCATAATGGCATAACCATTTTAAAGAATTTAAAATAAAAGATGCAAAAACCTGTACCTTGCACTGAAGAGTGCTTAAACTTGGAGACTAATAACATCTTGGATAGATGACATAAGAATAAGCCTTGGATATTAAAAAATGCAGTATAAAGAAAGCACAGTATAAAAAAAGGGAAGGAAACAAAATAGTAAGTTAAGTTACATTAATTGTGACAGTAAAGTCTGTGCACTGGAAGTGCAAAAACAAACCCCCACTCACTACAAGGCTCAAAGCTAGTTGTACTTCCCAAATCTTCAGATTTGTACAAGGGGAGTACAATAAACTGAGCCTTGTAGTCTTATTCCATCTGTCCCCTCTCTATAGCTAGGGTCACAGCTGCCAAAATACTTTTACACTCGTCCACAGCAGACTCCCAAACTGGCTGATTTTTTTTGGATACTTGTGGGACGCCCCAGGTGGTGATACCCCCTCCAGCCACAAAACTCTCCTTATAAGTCTTGCAAAGTTCTTTTTTGAATGCCCTACTGCAGACACTCCATTTGCAAAATCCACAGCACTTTGCACAGTTTCAGAAAAATGGAGCACCGTCTCTTTAAAGGCTTTTTACTTCAACACTCCTGCAGTTTCAAAACCTGCCACACACAATGTGCTGTTTCCAGCTCAGTGCAAACTATCTATGATAGTAAAACTTATTTCTTAACAGGGAGACACCAATTCTGCCCTTTGCATACCTCCACCCAGGCCCGTCTTTAATATTGATTGGACCCTGGGCAAACATTTTCTTGGGCCCCCCACCAAGAAAAAAAAAATGTAAAAATGACAACATGATTGTATATCTCCCTGAAAATCTCACTCCATTTCCGTTCTGTCCTTCAATATATGTGAATAACATGATTGATAGAATTACAATGCATGATAGTAGAAAGCCATGATTAGACATAATTAACATGATTAGATAATCATACTTAACAGAGACATGATTGTTGGTAATTTGACATGATACAGCGTTATTGAAGGTTTAACAGAGGAGGAGCCTAGTTTTCTCTCAACGTTTCACCCTTCTTCAGGAGAGGGAGGCTGTCATTCAAATGTGCAGCCCGGGGCGACTGTGCAACAGAAGGTTTAACAGTGAGAGGAGGATGGACACCCCTCGGTTCTGGTCGGGGAAATAAGCAGTTCCAGGACTTCTGGCTACCCTCGATGCCTCTCAGTCTATGCTGCTCCGGGTGGGATTCGTGGTCCGGGCCTCTCTCCCCTCATCTGCTTCGGTGACTGTGACCCAGGTGCTGTGCCTGGACGGCCCTGCAGAGATGCACACACACACTGACCCATTTGAATGACAACCTCCCTCTCCTGAAGAATATATACCACATCCATTACAGCGCCCCTAAGCGCAAAACGTTGAGAGAAAACTAGGCTCCTCCTCTGTTAAACCTTCAAAAACGCTGTATCATGTCAAATTACTAACAATCATGTCTCTGTTAAGTCTGATTATCTAATCATGTTAATTATGTCTAATCATGGCTTTCTACTATCATGCATTGTAATTCTATCAATCATGTTATTCACATATATATGAAGGACAGAACAGAAATGGAGTGAGCGTTTCAGGGAGATATACAAATTGTATATCTCCTTTCTATTTCTCCTTTTTTATTTTCTCACCTACCTGCCTCAGTCAGTCCTCGCCTCATGCCAGTCTGCCTCTTTCTGGATGTCCTGGACGTGAGTCCAGGACATCCAGCACATCCTCACGTCCTCCCATCCGCACAGCCTCACGTCCTCCAGGGAAGCCCGTGACATGTCACGCTATGCGGGTGGGGGCCGGGGGAGGAGCTACCTTTAGGATGCGATCGTGCAGATCGCATAGGACAATGCGTTATGACATTGCCGTATGCGGCCGCTGCCATAACGTATTATACTATGCGATCCGATCGGCAATTTTCTGCGGGTAGCGGGCTCAAGGGGCAGATGCTTCGGGCCCCACAAACTTTATTGGGCCCGGGGCAAGTGCCCTCTTTGCCCTGCGTTAAAGACGGCCCTTCCTCCACCTAATGTGGGAAGTAACTGAAATGTAGTGCTTCCAATGGTGCATTTTGTTTGCTAAAGTTTTTGTTTTAGGACTGTCTTGCCTACATTTATTAACAGTGTTGGGGTTATTTAGCATTCCTCTGCCACATGCAGTCATTCAGCACCCTTGCTTTCCCTTGCAGCAGCACTGCTCTGGAACTCAGGCTTAAGGCCCCTGTCTGTTCCTCCACAGACAGATCTATCCAAGACTGTGCACACACTGTCTAGCTACTCCCAACAGCACTGGCTTAACTTGTCTCCTAGATGAATTGCTGAGCCACAGTCAGTTCCCAAACCAAAAGGGCTTGTACACAAATGCTCAATTAATGGGTCCTGGTTATCATCAAAATTTAGACCTGTGGTTGGAGGCTCTAACCCAACCAAAACTCTACAAAGCCTCTGGACTTCAGGCTCAAACCAGGACTTGCCAGGCCCTGAGAAAACCGACAATCTTGTTTTTTTTCCTACTAGTCCCTACTAATCCTATAGCCCCTCCCCCTGTATGAATGAGTACTTTAGATGACAGCAGTACCTTTCAGGACCCTGACATTCAATTTCACCAGTCTCTTCCAGACTGCTTCATGATTCCTCAGATGCTAAACCAAATTTCAGTTGCCTTTTTACACTGTGAGATAGCCTGTCGCTCCCTACCCCCCACATATATAATGGCTATTATAAAGACCATCCCCTCATGCTCATATCCCTTGCCATTACCATATGGCAAAAGTTCTTTACATGTGTAGGGATGTAGTATTTTTAGTAGATTCCTTTTTGCATCTTTTAGGAATTTTTGTAGTTAGCACAGGGCTGTACCCTGCCTAACTGCACTTCAGCAGGAGTATTTTCTTAGAAAAGTATTTTCTAAGTGTAGCGCTCACCCCCCGAAGGAGCCGCTGTATATGAATTGAGGTTCTCCTACCTGTTTGCTCCAACCACCGGCCCTCTTTGATCAGCAACAGCGCACCTACACTCACGGACACAATGGACTCCAGTCTTAGGCTCTTTTGAATATTTATTTGCCAAGAGTAACAGGAGAGAGGTTTTAGGATCTGTAGGATGCCCTGATGGATTCTTCAGAGGACTGCTTTCTTCCCTAGCAACCACTAAGGCCCATAGCAACGGGATCCGGTCAGAGTGACTAATGGTTTCTTTAACAATACTGCGAACAGCCAGGATGGTCCAGTAACTTATAGGAGAAAGGTAGCTATCTCTGGACTCAGGTAAGAACTGCTGGCTTCTTCTATAACAGAGTTCTGGAATAGTCTCTATTCCAGAAGTAGGGATCTCTCTTGCAGGTCCCAGACGGTCTCTCTCACTAGCTCCTCTGCGGCACCTCTCAACAAGAAGACTCCACCTCCATCCCACCTTCCATCAGGTCTTTTCTCAGAAGTATTTCTACCTTTCTCGGATTCCAGCCGACTGAACTATCTGGACTGGAGAGTACAGTAGATACAGCGGCGGATTGATATCTGCTGTACTCTCCAGTGCAGGCCGGAACTATAACTTAATTGTCGGGAGCCGCGGCTCCTGATATTATTGCGCCGGCCCGAAAGTGAGGAAATAGTCCCCTCTCTCCCCGGGCCATACCACTTTATCTGAGAGCCCGGGGGAGGCCGGGAGAGAGGGGACAGTTTGACATGAGGTTCCACAGGCTGAACCACAAATTCCCCCTCTCTATTCAGTCTCAGGCCGGTCTATTCAGACATGACGCCGCGACCCACTGCAGAGGGTGTCGCGACCCACTTTTGGGTCGCGACCCACGAGTTGAGAACCACTGCTCTAGAACAAGGCTCCCAACACCTGTCACGTGTGTGGGGCCCAAGCAAAGTACCTATGGTGTCCTAGGCCTCTAGGCCCCCAGCACCTGCCATGTGCTGAGGCCCAGGCCATTCATCTGTATCACAGAGACCTCCTAGGGAGAGGCCCCAGGGGAGAAGAGACCTCTGCACAGTGTCCCCGGACCTTTTATCACCTGCCCTCAACCATACCTCCGAGTCATCCTACTCAGGGATTGGTCAGGGTCAGGTGCATAGTCATAGTCTAGGGATGGATCCTCCCTCACTGTATGCCAAGGCTCCCTTTTCCTCAGCAACAGGAGGAGCAATCAATCCAGCAGACTCAGGGACATCTATAGAATGCAGAGTTTGGGCACTCCCAAGTACTCCCAGACCTTGTTGTCACACCAAGCATTTCGCTTGACTTCGATCTCTTCCATCACGGCTTTAGGCACATAGTGTTACTCATATCCACGCTCAAGAGTCCACACCCTCTTATTCCCAATTCTCTGAAGTCTAGACAGTCTCGGTAGCGCATCCACATTCCATTTTCCTGTCGGGACACATGAATCCTGAGCCCTTTCAATCAAGTCTTTATGGGCCTGATTGTGTGCCACCGCTTGTTTATAGGTGCGGGGTGGCGAGGACGGATCAAAGCCCAGTCCCTTGGCACTTTGAATGATCTGGGCACTGTTCACCCGATCCTCCTCTACTGGCTCTGTAACATTTTCAAGGGGTTCTTCCTCCACTAGCTCTCCCCATGACCTGTCTATCTGAGGTAGCTCTGAGGTCTCCCCCTCCTTAATGTCCTGCTCCAGCTGCTCTGTACTACAGAGGTTCCCCTTTGGTTCCGGCTGGGATGATCCTATCTCCGATCACCCACCATTAGCAACTCCAGAGGTCTCACCTTCCCGTAGAAACGAATCTCCGAACGAGCTGGCAGGTGCATCCGATGTCTTCGGCATTCCGATCAAGGCCCCTCGACCGCGGTCGTGGGAGTGGCCGATCAGACTCTGCCCTTGGGTAGACGAATTGTCACTGTTGTCGGCATCAGTAGATCTGGTAATAAACGGGAGTTGAGGTAGGTAGCTCACAGCCGCGGGTCTGCTCAATTCTTTCGCCTCCTCACAGCGTCCGGTCCCCCAAAAAGTACACAAAAGCACATGCACATGACAATGTATGCCAGACACGTGAACTAACTTACATGATTGGACATGTGAACGCATGTTCGTATCTTTAAAAGTTCGCAACTTGAATGTTTGTATGTAAGGGACTTACTGTACTTTATTAAATTATTCAGACTAGATAGGGTGGCACATATTAAAAGATGATAAAAAGTGTATTTTTCTGCATATCAGACTATGCACATGCCACTGTGTAGTAAGGACAGAACAACAATGCTTATTCAATCAATCAACCAATCAATCAATCAATCAAACAGCGATGTGCAAAAAGCAGTTACCTGTAGACAGAGGCATAACAAGGTCATGAGGCGCCCGGGTGCAAGTCTTTCATTAGCGCCCATTCCCCACAAACCAAACCAAAGTTCAGTGCTCTGTGGGCTGTGCAGGGTCTTAGGAGGACTTGGATTTACACAAGAAGCCAGCTCTTCTTAATGATGGAAACATATAAATACTTTTTTTATTTACACATGCACAGGAGCAGTGAGAACTTGTCAGTGTGCAGGAGGGCTCTATTGACATTTTTCTCTGTGATTACCTGGTGACAGCTCAGCTCCCACTCAGCTGTCACTTTGTGTGACACTGCTCCTGCTCACTCTGGCTCCGGTATCCGAAGGTGCATTTTTCTGCCCCTAAGCCCCCCTATGCAGCCCTGGCAGTGCCTGCAGAGTGTCGGCGGAGAGAAGCGGTAAGTTATCATTGGCAGGGTAACAATAGTAATATTTGTTTACCGTTACCTTCACCCCCAATGGAATCCGCCACTGGTTGCTCACCCTGTCAGGCCTGGCAATGTCGGCGGTGCCCCTCCTAATGCAGTGCCCACGCTGGGGCACATGACCCCTCTGTCCCCCCTAGTTTCGGCCCTGAGTATAGTTAAAAGGACTCCGCTGAAGCCGGGCTTGCTGCGGTGCATCTGAGGAGGCCAGTGGCACCCCTTCAGGCCGGCGTCCAGCAACAAGTGCCCCCCCTCACTACCCCACTGCCTATAGCCAGAGTCTGACTGATTACTAATGGTCTCTGCACTTTACACATCAATTACATCCTTTACACAATGCCAGAACTCCAATTTCTGGCATAGTATTCAAATATTACACATTATTGTTTGTATTGTTAAGGATGCAAACTTTTTTCTACCCTTAGGTGGTTCTTAAGCATCCATTTTTTTATTGTAATGCTTCATTACTATTAATAAGCAAACATGACAATGTGAAACATGCTAGGTTCATTTTGAGATTTACAAAAATATAACATTGATTTTATTCTAATATATTTAAAGTGGGCTAACGATAACATGAACCTTTCAACATTCTGGGTAAATGCAGTTTATAACAGATATTGTAAATACCTTAGAAATCCATCGGATCTGTGCGCCGTCAGTGATTATGGCATGACCATGGCTGTCCTCTTCATACTTTACATTGCCCAAGTGCAGGACACTGGCTACTAATCCAAAGAGATGCTAGATTAGGAAGCAAAACAAAACTCTAAAGGTTTTTTTTAGGATTTAGTGCTGGAAAGAGCATATTCTGCATTAACAAAAAGGAATAACTCCTGAACGGTATTTAATTATCAAGCAGGACAGATCGTTTGGGATGATGGCTTAACAGCTGGTTACTTCTGGACATTTGCAGGTAACTACAGCACATTGTGCAGGGTCCACTAAAAATAGACACAGGACTTTCTGTACCTAGGCAACACATTACCATCTCCACTTTCTCTTATTTAGTGGACTGCATAGTTCAGTTGTAGGTTTGCATACAAAGTGGGTACCATTTTGCATATAGTAGTACATTGTTGATTTCGTTTTTATAAACCTTATTATATGACAAAATAGCTAGAGAATTTACTGTATAAAAGTGTTGTATAACTTACATGTGCCTTGGTTAGCAGGATGTCAAAATACTATTCACTCGGCTGCCCTTGGCAGCTTGGTGAATAGACCCCACAGTCTTGCCCCTAATTAGTTAAAGTAGCCAACTACTCAATGCAATCTCTGGTTGTACACAAAATACAGTTGATAATTATTCTGAATACAATGTTGCTTTTTGTTTAATGCACAAGTATCAGTAGAAAAAAAGGTATCATGTGGTGTACATGTATTAGTGAATATGTCGGAATAAAATAAAATTAAATGTGTATAGACTCCTTACCTCTATGTCAGCTTCAGTGAACTCAATAATGGTAAATGCCCTGCGGACTAGCTTCCAATTGGCTTTGTCACTGATAGAATTTACTTTGGCACACTCTCCCTGGGAAAAGAAAAAAGTATTTTGTGCAATATTTATACTAAAGACTTCTCTACAAAACTCCTGCAGATTTTGTTCTCACCTGAATGAGGTAACTGTAAAGCTCTGGGTTACGCTCTAGACCCAGCCACCTTATGAGATGATCTTCACCTCCCTCCAATAACTGGTAGAAGATATGGAAGTTCCTCTCCCCATTATTCTGATGGACCACCCGAGACTTCTCTAATAAATAACTAAGAATGTGGCCTCCGGCTGGTGCTCCCTGCAAATTAAGATTCAACAAAATGCTCACAAATGACAAAAGAATTTCTGCTGATGACAGCAATGATTCAACACCCCTAATCTAACAATAATCTGATTGTACAACATCTGTAGAACATTGTATCAACAACTGTGCAGTTTTAAAATTGACATTATTCAAAAGAAATAAGACGCCACACATGCTCCGAAGAAGTCCAGTGGATGAAACGCGTTAGCACCAAGTAGGACTTTTTACTCCCACGTGGATCCTCTGATTGCATTATTTGACCACATCTCCGCAATCTCTTCTACACAGCACTGAACCAGTAGGCACTTGCATTCAAGAATGAATGGATACATCTCTGATGGACTGACACATCAGTGCACATTGGTGAGACCACACCATTATCATACAGACATTACACTAAATACAGACATTCACTTGACTGTGAAATCACAGTGTAACATGGGTGTATGATGATGTGACACCTCAGGATGCACAGTGCATGGATCCATTCAGAGACGCTGCCATCAACATTTGGCCTCCCCTTGTATGATTCCAATCATTGTAAATTGACACATGGACTTTGGCTAATCAGCTGCAATTTTGTGATATTGGAGCAGTCAGTGAATCTGGCTGCACATGTTATATTGTCATTGCACAGAGCAAAACAGTTCTGCTAATTCATGTGTTTAAAGAAACGTGTACATGTTCATTGACATTAAGCTGTTGACTGATTCAAGAGTGAAGCTTGGAGAAATTGCTTTCATATTGCCTGGATGGGACATTGTGGATTTGTTGCAACATCATTTTCAATTTGAACAGTATATATTGGAACTATACATAGGCAAGTTTCTCAAGAATTGGACAACTATATGAGAGAGTCGGTTACATGCCAATGGTGCATACATAGTTTTCAACATCCCTATATAGATGGGGGGCTTTGATTGATAAATATATAGATTTGGACCACATGGTTGAGTATTTTAATGTATTAGGGGATTTAGTGCAGTTGGTACTGTATGTTAAATTCTTTTTTATTATTAATAAATACTCATGGATGTTATATGGATGCAAGTAGTTATTTGTTCCTTGGGATCTTAATATGCCATCTTAAATTGGAATTTTTTAGTCTTTTGAATATGTATGGTGGACAATTTAGATCCCTGGAAACAATGTGTAGCGATTTGTACTAAAGGGTTTATATATGGCAAAGCCTTTGTAAGTTCCCACGTTTGTCTGATGTAAAAATCTACCTTTACAATCAAATTACATCTAATCAAGTAGGCCAGCTCAATTGTGAACTGAATTATAACACTTCATTGCTGGTAACCATGCAATAAATGCCTACATTAAAAAAATATATATATCAGCATTAGTATGTGCATAAAACTACAGTATAAATGTGATGTGACATGTTTTATTTTAGACCCTGAATATGGGTGCAACATGAATCATGGTGTTCAAGGTAAACTTAGCCTTTAAAACAATGCACAAAAATAAATAAAATAATCAGATCCCAACAAAAGGAGCATACATATACCTTGAAGTCAAATTGCACATCCATATACTTTCCAAATCTGCTAGAGTTGTCATTACGAAGAGTTTTGGCATTTCCAAAAGCCTGAGAAAAATCAGATTTAAATGTTCATGTTTCATTTGATACAAGTTATGCAAATTATTTATGAAGTTTATGCAAACTAAAATAAATTGTATAAGTTGTTTACCCACCTCCAAAACAGGATTGGAGAGAAGGAGTCGATCTCTTATTGTTTGAAGCTTTTCTGTGGTTGGACATGCCATTGCCAGGTACTGAAGGATTTTCTTTGATGTTTCAGTTTTGCCAGATCCACTTTCTCCAGAGATGAGGATACACTGATTGTTTCGCTCAGTACACATTACCCTATATGCATTATCTGCGATAGCGTAACTAAAAAAAAGGCAGAACACAGAAATGTATAAAAGTTTTCAGGCAATTAACACAGTTACGTCAATCTACATTGCAAAGGAATAGCTTTCAAAATTTGAATCAGGCTTTATTGCTGCTATTGCCTTTACTAGACTTTATTAGCCAAAACCCCCTTTTCCGATACTGGTTGGTTTCCTCTTGCCTCACTTCAGAAAAAGCTTTTTTTTTAAATAGAGTAGGGAGGTGTTAAAACCTTTCTCAGGATTACGCTGCGGTCTAGGAAGGGTTCCCATTACTTCCTGTACAAGCTTAGGCCATAGCATACAAATATAGAACAATAAGAGGCCAAAAGCTCATAATGCAAACCTATATACCATGAACAAATTTGTCCTCCTACACATGTGTGCCCAAGAGTAAATACAAATTTTTATTAATACAAAAGTATATACAAACATAATGTACAAAAATCATTACAAGTTCCCCTCAAAAATAAACACAGAGATAAAAACATGTAAAATAGAGATTAACAAAAGCAGATTACCTATGGCCTTATCCAATTAGGGAAATATATACTCCCTGACAATCTATACTCATTGCTAAAATGTAAATACATATATAGAGAAATGTATTCATTCAATACATAGAAATATACAAATGGTCCAAACAAACAGAGGGGTTTGAAGATGCAGAAGGAGCAGCAACATGAGATGGAAATAATAAAGTAACACCCAGAATACTGTCCCACACAGTCTACATACTATAGCTCCCTATCTTGCTTTCATCCATCATTAAGCTGGGCATTCTGGGGGTTACTTTCTTATTTCTATTTTCATCTCATGTCACTGCTCCTTCTGCATCTCCTACAGATCATAATTAATTTCCTGTCTCTCACTTCAACACACTGCTAGCAGGCCTTTAAAGGATCCATGTCATAAGAAAATCATGGAGACCATTCTTCTTAAAATGCTAGCTTACTGGTTATCAGGCTGGTGCATTGGGTTAAATGCTTTCTGAATCACTGACCTGGAACAAGTATACAGATAAGGAATTCTGACACTCATGTAAACCATAAAGTTTCTGGTTCTCTGATTCTAAAAATACTGATGTCGGACATACTCAGTCAACAAGAATTTCTTAAGAGAGGACAGGACGTAGCAGGTTCTTGTTGTGTTATTTTCACATAGTGCTTAAAGTTTGTTTAAAGCTTGCTAGCAGCTTGTTTAAAGTGACAGTAAGTAGACATGTGCGATTCGTTTCGTTCCGAATCGAAATTCGGACGAATTTTCGGAAATTCGGACATTCGGATGTATCCAAATTCCGAATTACAGACATAACGAATGCAAACGAATCCGAATTTCCATTTCCGAAATTCGGTAGCGGTAGTTCGAACGTTCGTTTCGTTTTCTGTTCTTATTCGTTTCTTATTCGTTTCGTTTGTTGGAGCAAAGTGACATTAGAGGAGAAAAACATTTTCCCCCCCTCAAATGTCACTTTGCTGCAAACGAAAGAACGAAACGAATAAGAAACAAATAAGAAACGAATAAGAACAGAAAACGAAACGAACGTTCGAACTACCGCTACCGAATTTCGTCCGAATCCGAATTCCGAATCCGAATTGACTTTCACACCCGAAACACGAAATAACACAAATCCGAATTTAAAACGTAACGAAACTAAACAAATTTTTTGGCAGTGCACATGTCTAACAGTAAGCACTCTCAATAAGATCTGTAAATAAACTCCCAAAACTGCAACAAAAGGTTGCTATAAAATCTTCATTACAGCTGCTGAAAAAGTTGTGAATTATGTTTAAGGGCTTTATTCACACCCTCTCCAGACCAGATCCAGACCAGAACATTTTTTTGGCTGGCCAAAAAAAGCACACCCATTCATTTTTAAGGTATTAAAAAAAAAAAGTTGGATTAGTTCACATAATTGTGTTCAGTTTCAGAGCGTTTAAAAAAAGGACTGCATGCACTATTTTAGGTCTGAAATGCGCCAAAATGCATGTAAATGCATGCAAACGCACCAGAATGCACTAGAAATGTAATTGAGGGGAAAAAACCCCACTGGAATGCATAAAAAATGCACATACCGGCATTTCCAGAAATGCATCCAGATCTGGTCTGGAGATGGTCTAAACAAGCCATTAAAGGCTTGTTGTTCACACTGCTCTCATTCAATCTGAAGTCCATGTGTACAATTGGAGCAAAATGAAAGTCTTGGCAACATAGTATCTTTATAGTTACTGTAACATTGTCATACATGTGTGGTGGCAGCTCGATGAAATTTACTCCTTGGTATATTTCCATTTGCCTCTCGGTATATAGGTCAAGTTCCTTGTATGGGTTCACAGAAACCAGTAATGTTCCAATGTATGTCTAAGAATTACAAAATTAAAAAAATTAAAATATATTGTGAAGAGTTATTAAAAAAAATAATTCTGTAGTTAAATAGTGGAATCAATGCAGTGAAATATAATTTAGCCATTGATCTGTGCTTTGATAAAGAGTATGATCACCATTATAGTTAAAGTGACATTAAAGTCCAAAAAATGTTTCCCTCCCCCCAATGTTAATGTCAGCACTTACCTTAAATGCTGTCTCTTAATCCGATCTTCTTCTTCTTTCCTGATGTTTTCATCTGTCCCTCCAGCGGTGCGGAGGCTCTCCGATCCAGCGCTGACTCCCCACTGCTTGCAGGCACTTCTGATCCAGCGGTGTCTGCATGCGGGTGCACGCGTCCATAGACTTACCTTACGTCTCTGCTCGTCTCCCGACCGAGAATCCGAACTGCGCATGCGCCCGCCCCAAGATCCTTTGCGACCGCACAAGCAGTTCCGGATTCTCGGCGCGGGAGCGTGCAACGATTACGAGGTAAATTTAAACCGCTGTTAAAGCGGGTTTTTAAAAAATAACTTTTTGCCTAAATCTACTGCTTGCCTCAACTGAGGCTTTAGAAGCCCTTTAAAGCATATGTAAAGACAAAAATAAATTAGTACATTTCTGGAATACATGTATATTTTCACATGTTGCAAGTACAAAATAACTGTTGATGAGCCAGAGATATAGTGCGCTCCTAATTTCCTCTTTGACGTGACAACACAGCTCTGAATTCCTAAGCACATGATGTCAGCACTACCTACTTAATTTCTGATAGATTACAAAGAATTTAGACTTCCCCTTATCTCCTCCACCTTCAGCCTCATTGTGCACAGGCAGTTGTCAGCTGATAAGATTTCTGGCAAAATCAACAGGTATTTCTATACTTATTAAACAGCTATAAAAAAACACTTTCAATGGTTTATTTAACAGACCAAAAGGAAGCAAATAAGAGAAGGTCATTGTTAGGGTTTACCTACACTTTAAATATCATGTGCAATGTGCACAACAAGTTAATACAGAGCTTTCGGTAAGCTTTCTTAAAGCCTTCAAAGCATCCTTCAGCTCCAAGTAAACACATATCAAAATGACATTTCTGAGACTAGGGGCTGCCATTGCTGACCTCCTTCTAAAAAACTCTCTCCTTGACTGTCAGCACTTTGAGACACTGCCCTGGAACAAGTAAGCAGATTAGAAAGTCAGAACAACTGATCTGCAATCCTGATCCAGGGTAGCAACCTGGAAAATAATTTAGTGGCTTCAATATTTTGCCGACCAGGCAACTAGCATATTCAGGGAGGTTACCAATGGCTGTTTCCATATTTGTTTCACTACAGGTTTTCTTTCCAGCTCTCTGTCACTTAAATAAAAGTCTCAACAGATGAATTACTGAAATTGAAAATACTTAATCCTTCCGTTGCCCGTGCCACTGAATGCTGCTCTGATGAGGAGATATAATTTCAGGAAGCCTGTTCAGAAGTTGAATGCGCCCTGTAGTGATGTGGGGGTCAGCAGAAGAAACCTCCCAGAACTGTTGGTTTCCAAACAGACTTTGTGGGATGATTTCTTCTCATCAGAACAGCATTCAGTGGCACAACCAGTAGGAGAAGTAAGTATTTAAAGTATTCTTCTTTAAAGATAAGCCTTGTGTTTGGAATTTTTTTTATAAGCAACAGAGTCACTTCCTTTAGCACAAACTGAATCATATTGTTGCTGATGCTGGATTCCCGATAAAAATACTCAACCCTACCATTATGATCTGTATTTAATATCTCCAAACTGCAGCTGAAGTGTGCTAAAGCTGATCATTTGTCAAACCTAGTTTGTAGATGCAGCTTTAGGGCCGGTACACACCAGAAACAGTGCGTTCCAGAACAGTCAGTCTCTCAATGCGTTCCACACCAGAAAAAATGAGACAAGCAGTATTTTTTTTGTCTGGTCCGGAATGGACAGCATTGCTTGTGAACAGAGCCCACAAATACAATAGGGATACATTGGGATGCTTTTTTGGTTCGGGAACAAACTGTTCTGGTCTGGGCATGATTCGGACATGGTGTGAACAAAAACTTATATTGGCTGAAGCCCGTGGGTACAATCAAGGTTTCAAGAACGGTGCCTGCTGGCTTTAGTGAATAATCATCGGACTAGCGCTTAAAAGTAAAGATTAAAAAAAATGTCTATGTGTACTGGGCCCTAGTGATGTTGAAGAAAACCATTAATTTTGCATCCACAACTAAAGCTGGCCATACACTAGTAGATTTCTGAACGAAAAATCTTTCTTTACCAACGAAGCATCTTTCTTTACCACCTGATAAGGCCATTACAGACTTGGCGAATCCCAAACAAAATTTTGTTTTATTTTAACATTCGATTTTGGAATGAATTACGTTTCCTGAACGAAAATCACATTCACTGCTGAAATTTCGTTCCTTCAAGAAAAAAATTCCATCCTGCTCCTTCGGCTTTTTAGATCACTATGGTTGAAATCAATGATCCATTTGACCCCATCATCTAATAGAAAGTCAAACGAAAGATCTTTCGCACGAAAGTTCTTCCGAAAATCTACTCATGTATGACCACCTTAAATGTTCCTGCTGCTGCTGGTCTTATTATACCACTGCTTTCAACCAAAATATTAAAACAAGAATTACATAAATAAGATTCTCCTGGAATCTCTTGCGCAGATTGTCAAGGAAAGCGGCTTCACTGGTGTGTGAATCTAGCAGCACAAAATCTTCAACGCCAACCTTTTCCCGAGCAGATAGTGAGCCTTCAATATGTGTATCTGCTCCATTTTTTTTAGCATTCTCCATCTAAGAAGAGAAAGACAAAAACAGTCCAATAAGCTACATAGATCTTTTACAATTATCAAGCCACACAATGGTAAATACACTCTGAGAATATGCCCACCTCACACTGATTGTGTAGTTTTGGATGGACTCTATTAAGATCAATCACTCTCTGGCTTGATTACATTCTCAAGATCCCAGGCGTAGTTCACCACAAGGTTCCACGCTTTTACATAATTTAAATAAAAATAATTTTGCTCCCAAGATTTTATTACATACTTAAAGCTGTACACCTTTTCACTATTTTAATAAATACCATTAAGGCAGTTAAATAAATAACACATACAAATGTAATGTGATCTCTTAATCCGAAAGCTGACATTAAACCAAGCGCAGGAGCACATGAGCAATTAGTAGCTCAGTCATAATCCTAAGGCTGGGTTCACACCATTTTCCAGGCCAGATCTGGACCAGATCTGGAACATAGTGCATTGCGTTTTTGCCGCGATTTTACCGCAATTTTGCCGTGATTGGAATTTTTTTTAGCTTAAAATGGTCTTACAGGTGCTTTCCAGTGCGTTCCATGAGTTTTTGATGCGTTCCAGTGCATTCCAGACCAGACAAAATAGTATAAGCCGTATTCTTCTGGTCTGGTCTGGAACGGACTGCGGTGGTGGGAACAGAGGTCAGAAATACCATAGGGATACATAGGGATGCATTTTGGGTCCAGAAACAGTCCGGTCTGGAGGTAATCTGGATGTGGTGTTAATGGGCCCTAACCTCTAGAGATCAATTGTTAGGAGTACAATCACTACACAAATATAACTCTGGCGTGAACTATGCAAGTTACATATAATAGAATATAGTAATAATGAATTGCTCATATTTGTGGTATTGTACAGTCATGAGCATTTAAATGCTAGTACATGCTATTTGTACAGTTCACACCACAGGCAGCCATTTTGTTCATCAGTATAATGATTGATTTCTATGCTAAGAGCACTTAGGTGATTTTTAGTAGCTCAATAGTTCTACCAAAATCATTAGTAATGAATCCAATAGGGGAAAAAACAGTTGCTAAACAGATTGAAGAAATGGCTAGTGTGACAACTATACACTTTGTAATAGCAATCAACTGTACACAATTGAAGTACATAGGGAGTCATTTGTTCTATTTGTTTAGCAATCGATTTCTGCTCTTAGTGATTAATCCTCAGCAGTTATCATAGCATGAATGAGATACTAAAAATCAAGTAGCCTCAGGGCCCATTCACATCGATTGCTTGACCATGAATGTCCACAACTCAGCCATTGTTTTAAATGGTGCCATTCCCAATTTGTGCAATGCGTTGATGTGCGTTATTCTTTTTTGGATGCATCAAGGCTTCTTAGGGTCTATTAATTATAGTGGCATCACATGAAAACACATAACTATTAATAATGCACATAAAAAGGCATAAAAAATTGTGCGGAAAGGTATAGATTCATAATATTTTTCAATAGGGACTATGCTATCACACAGGGGTTTGTTAGCCCATGTGTGATAGCAATAAAGTTAAGTGAAAAAAAATAGTTAGGAAAAGTAAAAAATAATAAAATAAAAAAGTTAAAAAAATAACAACTGATTAAAAATGTAAATAAAAATAAAAAGACGATAAAGTAAAAATAATAAAATTAATTAAAATTAAAAATGTTTACAAAATAAATAAAAAGTGAAAAAAATTAAAACCAGCCCCACTGCCCCATCATCTGCATGCGAAAAAACGCACAGTGTTTTCAACAGCGATCGTGTGCAACCGCACGGGCAGTGCAATACTGCGGTGGGAAACCGCACAATCTGCCTTGCACGACTGGGGTGCCATTAGAAAATAATGGCACTGCCAGCGAAATCGGCGCTGGTGTGCAATCCGTGACCGCCCGTTCATCGTGCACGAAACCGAGCAGTCATGGAATCGCACACCACCGCCGATTTCGCTGGCAGTGCCATTATTTTCTAATGGCACTCCATTCGCGCCAGGCAGATTGCGCGGTCTCCCGCCACAATACCGCCTGGGTAGTCCCACACGATCGCGGTTAAAAACATGAATAGTTTAAATGTTTTATTGTTCTATAACAGTCTTTAATTAAAGTTCTTCATAATCATAAACAAATTGGCCTAAAAACATTAGTCTATTGTTTTTTTTAAATGCCACCTGTCCCTTTAAGAAAAAGTATCGGTAATTGGTATCGGCAAGTACATGAGGGGAAGTACTTGTACTTGTACTTGGTCTTAAAAAAGGGGTATCGGGACATCCCTATTTTCCAATGCCTTATCTTACTGAACAAACTTTTTAATTGACCAGGGTTACGAAGAAAAAGGTATGTGAATTTCAGAAAATAACATTTTCTGAAATAAAATGAATTGTAAATGTAATTGAACTCAACTAGTCCAATCACTAATTCAGGTGGTCCAATCATTACTGCTGTGGTTAAACTACCCTACTTGCTGGCTATACACTTGTGTTATACTGAGCATTACAACAATGCATGGTACTCTGTGTCAGTGGCGGAACTACCGCCGGTGCAGGCGGTGCGGGCGCCCGGGGCCTCAGGCTCTGGGGGGGGCCCAGCAAGTTGCCGGCCGCCGGATCGTTATCCAGCGCGCGGCGGGCCCCTGGTC